TTAATTTTCAACAGATTCCTGTTTGATTTCGACCTGGGAAGAGTGAGTGAATCTACACTGGCCTGCATGGCATTTGATTGAGCTGGCGGACTGAGGTTTTTGAGGTTTGGGTATTGCCTCTGTGTCTGTCATGTGGAAGAAAACAATGTGCTGCTAAATTGCCACATGACATCGCCTGTTGATTTCCTGTCATCAGTCCGGCACCAGCCTTTGTGTGTGTTTCAGGATAATTGCGTTTTTATATGAAACTTCCGCTACATTTCACTTAATGGCTCCGTTTGATTTCCGGCGTACAGTTATTTGATTTTTGCCGCCTTGAAAGGCATTTGATTGCATTTTATTGTTATTTAATTTGCACTGACCACCGACACAAAATTGAATTCAGTTTTAATCATTCCATTTGTTATGGTTACTTGCGGCTGCTTTGCGCATTTAATTAATAAAAACGTACTTTTCACACTTAAGAGGATCCAATTGTTGCGTTTATTTTTGTTGCCAATTAATTCGATTAATATATCGGCTTACGGAACTTAATTTTTATTAAACTATCAGCGACATTAACATGGAATTTAATTCGCCAGCGGTCCTGGCGAATAAGCCATCTCCATTAGGGTCAGGTCTGCTAACTATTCCGCCAGAGAATCCAATTCCAATTCCAGGAGCGGAAGGAATGAGGCCTCCAGTACGCCCCAGGCGAGGAGGGCTCGGCTTGGCAAATACATAAAAATACTCACAAATAACAATAAAACCTAGGAAATTATTGATACGAGCCGGGGAAATTGCTTACCAATGCTCAGAGTCCTCCACGTGCAAGGACCCTCCTGCAGGGGGGCCGGAGCCAGACAGCTGAACTAAGCAAATATGAATAGACTAGATGGAAGGCATGTCATGCATGCTTAGGACCCACTAATATTAAAACAAATATGCCCGGCCCACGCAGACAAAGTTTTATGCCAAATACTTTAAGGCAAACTTTATTAGCTCGCAAATACCTGAGATTTCACCCCGTCTGAGTTTGGTGGCTATGTTCAGAAAATAGGAAGCACTCCAAGAAAAACTTCTGAACTTGGCCTGCTTTCTGGGAATTAAATATTTTGTTTTGTTGGCTGTTTTCGTTTCAAATGGACCCAGAGAGCCACTAAGTGCCAGGAAAATAACTTACTTGCCGCAGAAGGTTGGCAAAAGTGCCCACCTAGACTCCAAAATATTCCTAAAAATATTTATTTATATACATTTTTGGGCAGCTCAAGACAAGAGTGAAAATAAATAAAACCTTGTGTTGAACTTGAACCTGTTTTTTCCCCGAGTGCAGACAAGACGTTGTAAGCCCAAGCCAAATGAACCCCTAAACAAAGGCGTCTCCTGGTCCGGAGAAAAGGAGAAAGAGCGGGCAGCTGTGCCTACATTACAGAAATGTAATTGATTTCATGTGTTTGACGCGCTTCTCCCCCGGGGCCCTCTAATAATCCCATCTAAGCACGCAGACAAACAGAGTCGAAATTGAAGGGAAGCCATTGCCGTAGCCCTTAGAGGAGCCCATTGAATTCGCCCAGATTGGCCCTGTGCTGCTGCTGCTGCGAATACGAAATTGGAATACCAAATTCGAGAGTAGAAGTCATCTGATTGATCATTCACAACAGCCCCTGCAAATTCCATAACTTCAGGGGGGGCTTTGCCTGAATGTTATTGCCCGTAATACATCTGTGCGATAATAAAATTAAAAAATTTATTCACACAACTGTCACAGAATTCAGCAGAGCGGAGGTGAGCGGAGGCCGTAGCTACATAGAGCTGCACATGGAATTTGAAATGTCGTGATTACCTGGGCCCTCAGCTTCCCAGTTTCAGTTCCAGTTCCAGTTCCTTCTCCCCCGACTGGCAGGAACTTTCTGTGTTTCTGGCATGTCAACGAAATTTATCACAGACTCACATTTGTTACTCCGCTGTCAGACATTTGCATGTCTACCTCCCCGAATTATTCATTTTTGGGTGCGAGTGGCATACTTCTGAGGGCGCCGCACCTTTCCTACATGTGTTACTATTAATTCCGTGTTCCTGCCGGCAAATTGAGGGCGACGCATGATCCTAGGGGCCAGGCCATCATCTGCAGCCAGGGCTGATGGGATGCTCAGGTGTGCGGCGGCAGGTGATTGAACGTTATTTGATGTGAAATTCGCTTTATTGTTTGGCCAGGCATTTATGCAAATGTCGCAATTCGGTGGCTGTCACAGAAATGCCAGCAAATGGGATATGAAATTAAAGTTCAGAGGTATTTAAAATATCAATTTGTAGCAGGTTATACCTGAGAGACAATAAATAATATATGAATACCTCTCCCTTTAAACCAGAACTCTAATTAAATTTGTGATTCGCAAACTCTAGAATTAAGTGGCCTTTGACTGCTAATTAACAAACGCATAGAAACCACTTTCCATCGAATTTTCACTTAATTTTACGCTTGAAGTAGCTAAAGTATTTCCTTTGAAATGACGAGAAAACTTTCAGTGGCTCTTGAATGGAAAAAAAAAACCTGTGACAAGTATTTCCATAAAGAGTCACAGGAATATATTACTTGGAGTGGTCATCGAATATAAATGTTAAAGCATAAAGAAAATTCTTTGACACTCGAGTATTGCAGTGCTCGGTGTCCCCTTTGCCTTAATTTATGCCAGAGTGACACTGCATACTGTATATTCGCCATTCTGAATGTGGAATTACCAGAATCTGACCTTCGTCGCGTCGCTTTGCACAAACACTCGGCAAAATCGTCAATTTTATGCGACTGTAAGTCCTATCGATGGAAATCAATTTGCACAGCCGAGCGAGAGGGAATGAATTGAAAAAGCCAACAAATTGATATCGTCTGCTCTGGCTCTGGCTCTGGCTCTGGCTGCCCTTAAAGCCGTGTCTGGTCGGCGTTACGTAAAAAAAGTATATGTATAAATCGACCAAAGAACGAAAATTTAACGCAAAATTCAAATCAGCGAAAAAAAGGACAAGGCAGACGAACAAAATGCTCAATCAAATCAAAGTCCCTATACAAAATGCAAAATAAGACAATGACAAAGCGGACGGAGCGGGCGGCAACAGGAGTGCCTGGAGGATGAAATGGGTTGGATTCGGTTGGGTTTGGGATGGGATTCAGATGGGGAATGGGAATGGGATTGTTATAGAATGGGCTTCGCCTGGCTGGATGGGGATCGTTGCTCCTCGCTATGTTTTCGGCATGAACATTGTCCAACGAAACACGCTGAGACACAAGTGTCACTGACAGCTGGAGGCGCTCTTCGTTATGCAAAAAATGTTCAAGGCAGCAGAATGCCAAGCAAGAAAGGAGCATTACGTGCCCGGTTCGGTAATGAAATTATTTTTTGAGTATGACCATAGAGGTCTGGAGAGGTTCCGCTTTAAGATTAAGACTACTCAAGTAACAATTTAAATATATAAAATATTCTTATAAATAAAAAATACATCTGCATACTTTTCCCAGTAATTTCAGTTAGTTTCTCATTCTGAAATACCCCCGAAATTGCTCAGCAACAAAGGTTAAAGACCCACGTGCATGTGTGAATGGGGTCAGAGTGAAATGAGCTTGCTTTCGTCAGGACTCACGGCCTGAATCTGAGCAGATTAATTGCCTGTAGTTGTACTTGGGCAAACACAATCGGCCCGACTGAGTCGTAAGGACTCTGACAGCGAAACGACAAATGTAATCAAAATAAATTACGAGCCTGTAAGCAGCCTCCGGTGTCTATTACGCACAATAAAAAGGGAAAGGCACCATTTGTTTAACGCAATCTCATTATTCGATGCGCCCCGACAGCCGCCAAGGGCGGCGCAGATGCTGCTGCAAGGACACTCTTCCGCAGGACACCCTCCTCCGTGACAGTGACAGGCATTGAGGGCATTCACCCAGCGCCTCCTCGTCATGTCATTCCGGGTTACCTAAGGTTGATAATGCCGCTGATTACACTGATGATAAGTAATTCTGTAAACTCCAACTGCAGGCCGTGTCTAAAGTGGCGTTAACGCGTTTGTTGATTAGTGCGGTGCCCGGAGAGGAGTGTAGGAGGAGCAGTGTGGAAGTCGGGCGAGGACTTGGGACCAGCGACAAGCTCATTACGACGTCAACAATTTGATTAATTACCGTTGGCAACCCGCCGGCGGGAGCGGGACTTTACGTTTCTCTCTCAAACCAGCCGCAGCAAAGGATTTCTTGCATTTCGCCCTTATTTTCCCTCGACTTGCGGCGGCGCGTAAAATTTTATGCAAATTTAATTTACCTCAGGGCAATCATTTTTATGGGCAAATGCCCAGGGGCCACGCCCACAAAGCGGTTGCGAAGGCTGACAGTTATAATCTTGGGGATCCCGAAAACCTTTTGGGGGTCTTGGCTGACATCGAAACATTTTTGTTAAAATTTTAATGCAACCCAAAAGTGAAATTGGACAATTTCATAAATTGGAAAACCCCAAAAATTATACATTTATTCAACAGCTAAAAGTATATAAACACAAACAAAAAGTTAAGAAGAAACCTAATTAGTATTAGGCTTTAATTTTCTGTGACGTTTTGCAGAGAAGCAAAATTTAAATAACTAAACAAGTGTGAAAATAAATTGCAAAAAAGCTCAAGAGCTAAATAAACATTTATGCATAAATTAAAATAAATTAGGTATGATATTCTGTTTGCCAAATGAACGCTAAATATCTAAATTAATTGATTAAACAAAGGCCTAATAGTAATAATTCAAGTATAAAACAAACACCAAACTAATTACAAGTGTTTACATTTAAAATTATGTAAAAATAGTGAAAATCAGGAAGATAAAGATATATTTACTAAACTCTCACCTAAAATTAAAACGAAATAGATAAATAAATGCGAAGCGTGTAAATGTGCTTTTTCTAGGACCAACAAAATTTATTAAAATCCAAAGAAAAAAATTCAAAATTAATCTGTCGACCGTTGTGCAAACACCCAAAATGCTAAAGCGGAAAAAAGAGCGATAAATTTGCGTAAAACTGCGAAAAATAACGAAAAATAGCGAAAAATCAACACAAGCCCAGCCGAAAATATGTGCCACATATCCCGAAAAGCAATTAAACTGTGGGCAAATCCGAAACATATCCAACCCGAATCCTCTCGCATATCCAAATATCAGCGACCTCGAACAAATACATAAACATATCGGGCTAAAACTCTCAGTCAGGGCCAACATGAGAGCCACCTCCAACAGCCAATGGCTGCTCCGTTTTTGGGTGCTCTTGCTGCTGAACGTCCTGCCCACCTGGCACCTCTTGCAGGCGGAGAGCCAGGTGGTGGGCGACATAGCCTACCTGGAGACGGAGATGGAGCAGGAGGACCACCATCCGGCAAGTCATCATCGCATTAGTCACACCCGGAATCACAACCGCGAGCACCTACATCATCGTCAGCGACAGCGCGGAAAGCACTTCCGGGGGAAGCACATCAGGAGCCATTACGAGATGCTGCAGCTGGAGCAGCAGCAGCAGCAGCTGGGCAAACACTGGCGCCAGTGGGTGAATCACCTGCATCAGTCGCCGGATTACGCCAGCGATGATCCATCACCTTCGGCCGGTGGGGAGCTGCCCCACTTTGACCATTTCGATGTGGAGGACTACCAGCGCTATGCCAACATCGAGCTGGCGGCTCCACGCTCCGGACGCCATCGGGGGCGACACCTGCCGCTGAACAACAATCAGCTGCTGGACGGCAGCGGCAAGTACCTGCGATCCCTGCCGGACTCGGTGAATTTCCAGGACCGTTTGTACCCAACCCAGCCCCAGAGGCACTGGCCGGTGAAGCGGGAGGCCATTGTCGAGGGTGATGTAATCCTGGGTGGCCTGATGATGGTCCATTCGCGGGAGGACAGCATCACCTGCGGGCCAATAATGCCTCAGGGCGGCATTCAAGCCTTGGAGGCCATGCTCTTCACGATCGACCGGATTAACCGGGAGCAGCTGCTGCCCAATATCACCCTGGGCGCCCACATACTTGACGACTGCGACAAGGATTCGTATGGCCTGGAAATGGCAGTGGATTTCATTAAAGGTATTAAAGAAATTTCTAAGTTATTATAAGTGAACTTGAAAGTATTCTAAGTATTTATTAAAATATTTATTGAGTAAATATATATGTAATTTACTATATACTAAAGCTATAGCTTATAAAGCAGGTGAAATTGTGTGAGAACAGTTAAGACATAGTGTCTTATTTCCTGCAGAAATAAGCTTGCATATGAATTACTTCGGGAATATTACTCATACGCCGTGTGGCACAGCCTCTGTTGATGCTCACATTTACATGCAAATTGTGTGTACGTTTGGCTCTGGCTGTGGAGCTTATGCTGATACTGGTGTTATTCTGAGCAAAAGTTGTTGCAGTTTTAGTTTCAGTTTATTTGCAATTGCATATCTACAAAGGCAAATGCAATTGCAAACAGTTTGCAAATGATAAGCCAAATAAAATAGGCGGTATATGTGGTATCTGATATAATTTTAAAACTTGCCTCAACGAAAACATTTATTATTTATAAGCCTTAAGCTTTGAGAGTAACTGTTGCCTGGCTTAAGATACACATTCAACATTTCCATCCATTGCTTCACCCTTCCAGCGCCTTTTCAAAGATTCCATTAATAAACTAAATTAATAAATAAATTACGGGGATTGTAGCGACTAAATATGCATAATTCCCCCAAGACAAAACGGCGTGGCTTAGTGCCGCACAGCAAGTGCACAGCGCCCAGAGGGAAGATCAAGGACGGCACATAAAATGGCGCTTATTACTTTTATCGGGGCAAACAAAGAGGCACACACGCTGCCAGAAAATCAACAAAAACAACACCCACTAGCTCACTCACACACACACGCATATACGCACAACGATCCATAATCAATTGGGCACAGAGCCGGCATCCTTGTCATCGTCCCTGAACACTTTCTAATCTCCATAATTTCATTATTTATGTGCGCGGCAAGGATTTATTTGAGCGACGTGCTGTGCGCCTCTACCGCTCCCTCTCTCTATCTCTCTCTCTCACGCTTCCTGCCGCGTTATCTCGCTGTCTCTGTCTTTGTTGGGTATGACGTATGAAAAATATAATTTTCCAAGTCACTGAATTATATTGACAGGATTAGGCAGGCCGTAAACTATGCCGGAGTGCGAGGATCCACTGTTTGGCTGCGGCTTCGGCCTCCCCCACTTGTTTATTTCGGTTAATAATAATCTAGTTAGGCATCAATTGGATGGGCAGAATCAAGCCACTATCCCACCCGGAGAGTTAATTAATTTGCACTTAGGAGCAGCAGCAGCGGCACCAGCTGGCGGCACTTGGCAACGGTGGGCGTGGCAAGGAGCCTGAATTTTCCAAATTTGCGGTTGGTCAAGCAGGAAGTTCCAGCTTTAATTTTCAGGCATTTAAAGGCATAGGAAAATAGGACCTTTTAAGATATTGAAAGTGAATTAACTCAACTTTAAAAAACTCATTTCACCAGTGCGTATACGTAATATTTTGGGACTGCAAAAGTAAAATAAATCAACCATAAATTAAGAGTTTCCCTGATTGATATAAACTTAATTTAATCCTCTTCGTATTGTTAAAATCCTTCTCTTTTCCATTCATTCCAGGATCCATCAGCAATATTGATGATGCGGAATATCACTGCAACAAGACGCAAGTGCGGAAGGTCATCTCGGGGGTGGTGGGCGCCGCCTCCTCGGTCACATCCATTCAAGTGGCCAATTTATTGCGCTTATTCCGCATTCCTCAGGTGAGTGCTGAGTCCTTCATGCAATCTGTCACAAGTCAAAAGGTCAACGCACAGCGGTAGAGTAACTATAGCTTTACCGTTGAAATTTGCTTTATGCCCGCATCTATTCTCGTAGTTTGTGTGTGCTTTGAACCGACAAAAGTTCCTAGTATTTTGCAATTAAAATTTCCCCGAAGCCATATGGTAGCCGTTGTAGTAATGGCCGGCAGGGGCTTTTGGATGTCACTGCCGGACTCTTAAGTGTCGGCACGTGCTACTAAATTAGTGAAAGCCCCGAGGGGCTACAAGTCTAGGAAAATGCAGCTTTTGCACAAGGAAAATTGTTGCCAAAATTTGGCACTTATTATATTTTTATATGCTAAAGAAAACTATAGAGAAATTAAAGTAATCTTAGAGCTAAGATTGAATTAAATTTAGAAATGGCCATTTTAAAATTCTAATCCAAAAAATCACATTTTTCTTCACGATTTCCCAATCAATTTCTCTCCCCAAATTCACTTACCTTTCACCGCTGTACTGTATTTGACTAATGACCTGGGCTTTTAATCTTACGAAACGGAATCTAATTTTTGTAAGTGCACGCATGAATCACGTCTTTGATCCTGAAGGAGATTGAGTAGCCAGAGCTGCTGCTGCTGCTGCCGGAACTACGTGAGCCAGAGGCCAAAAGTCAATACGCGACAATAACTAAGTAGCCTGAATGCCAGGTCCTGCTCCAGTTCCTGCTATAGCTCCATGTGCCATGTTCACTGAATGCCATTAAACGCACACGCAGTGCCAGTGGCAACCAAAAAAAAAGGAGCAGCAGCACCCAGAGCAGCCGTTTTATGCAGGCCCAGGCAACGTACCAAAAAGAGCTCATAAATCAGCCATAAAGATTTGATTGCATTTCGGCGTAAGCGTGGCTACACGTATAAACAAGGGTTGCCAGCAAATTTTGTGTGTGTTCTGCAATTGAAATTGCGGTCGATAGCGACTTGGTTAGAGGAGCTTAGCGGCTGCAGTGTCAACTATATGCTAAAATAGCTGTGTAAATAAGAGTAAAATTAAGACATTCCAACATATTTTATGGCTTACAAATAAAGCTTATATAAGTCGAGTCTGATATAATATAAAAACCAAATATCATATGCTCTGTACTTTATTAAACTTTTAGAGCACTGCAAACTAGAAAGTAAATGTTGCATGAATTTCAATTAGCTGTCCCTTCTGCCAGTCCTTGGCAGGCGTGCCGTGTTCGAGAGGGCAAACACTTGGCCCAAAGCTGTTGACTAATGGTAATGACACTTAATTAGAAGCCAAGTAGTTCGTTAAACACTTGCACACGCCTGGAAGTGCATTTGCAGGTGGTATATCCCCCCTCCGACACAGTGATTTGTCGAATGGAAAACCATACACGGGGGTTAATTTGCTCGTGAAATTCGGTTTTCTGGTTTTAGCCAAGTAACCCCAGTTGGTCCTTGCAGCAGATTTCGCCAAGTAATGCTGCCTTTTTATGCTTTCTTTGACTCTGGCTTTGGCTGCATTGTGTTTGTGTTCCGGAACTTGGCTTAAAACCGGGGGAAAATATGAATGTGTAAAGCTGCATAAGAAGCTTACAAAAGTGTTTGCAAAACTGGGGGCATAAGTGAGTGGCAGAAGAAAAGTGGAAATTAAATTGGCGAATATTCAAGGAAAAAGTGATTTTTTCACTCTGCTAGTGAAATATGCGATAAAAACAACATATTCGCCACTTTGTGTGTGTGTTTGTGCTGTATGCACCTTATCGCCCTCAACGTTATAGCTTTTCCAGGGAAAATATTGGTGCTTCATAACATAATCCATCGCCTGTGCTTTTTAACATTTCCCCCCCTCGTTTTTTTTACAGGTGTCCTACTTCTCGACCAGCCCCGAGCTGAGCAACAAACAGCGATTCGAGTACTTCTCCCGCACGATTCCCTCGGATCACTACCAGGTGAAGGCCATGGTGGAGATTGTCAAGCGGATGGGCTGGAGCTACGTCTCGATTATCTACGAGGAGAGTAACTATGGCATTAAGGTGGGTGGTCTATTGGGTAAACAAATGTTTACAAGGAAGGTACTTTACATAAACAGCGATGGGTTTTTAGCATACTTGTAATATAGTTTATTTACCACAAGTTCATTGCTTCTTCTCGGTTTTAAATCAAAAATAAAAACCGCTTAAAATTTAATTTACACTCTCACCTTATTCGTGCAACAATTGGCACCTCCTTCTTTTAAACTTTCATTGCTTTGCCGGGATGCAACTATTATTTTCTGTTTATTCTGAGACTCGGCACGCGTACACGTAGTACCTGTGTAAAGAGTTTACCTTTGCCATTCCCCACAAACGGGTTTTATTGTTTTACTCAAGAGTGCTGTTCCTATTATTGTTGCCATCCCACCGTGCAGGCCTTCGAGGAGCTGGAGGAGCTGCTTGCACGCCATAACATTTGTATTGCCATCAAGGAGAAGCTCGTGAAGGATTCGGGAGTGGCCGAGGACATCGCGTACGATAATATCGTGCAGAAGCTGCTGACGAAGCCGCGGGCCCGAGGTATGTATAAGCGGTGGAGAGTTGAGTAAATTGCGAATGCAGTCTGCCAGTTAAAATGCAATTTAAATGAAAATGTCAAAGAAAGGCGCTTGGCAAGTGCGAACGGAAAAGCCCTTGGAGTCGGGAATCATCGCGAACTGTGACAGTTTTTATTTGTTGGCGGAAATTGCGCAAATTAAATGAAAATATTTAAAACACTTGGTGGCAGGAAATTAAAAAGTTCAGTTGGGATAGTCGAAAATAAACCGAACAAAGCTTCGTTCAAACAAATTGTTTGCCCATAAATTGAGAGATAGATAGCAGAGAGTGGACCATGCCAATCTCCTGGCACCACAACCAAAAAAAAAATAATAATATTAATAATAGCGTGCATTTATCATCGCTGAGAGTAAGCCGCACCGAAAAAATTAAAATGTTCAATAAAACTGCGCGAAACACTGAGTTTGGATGCTTTGAAGGACGGGGACAAAACTTTTCTGACATGGCAGAACCAATTAAAAGGGCAGATAGGAACCGACAGAGAAAGGAAAATTAATCAGACCGATTTTTCAAGCTAAAAATTTAAATGGAAGCGACCTTTGTGCCCGACCAGCATTGCCTCCATCCATGTCAATCATACGCCCCGTGAGCCCGACTAAAATAAATAAAAAATAAATGTCAATCAATTTGACTTTAAACTTTTTTTTTTGTTATCCCTCTGTCAGAAGACACTGCCGAATATTAATCAACTGCCAGTTACAGGCGCGTCTGCACAGAAAAATATATATTAAAAATAATTACCGCCTAAACCTTTGGCGTATATCATTAATCAAGGGGCCTTCGGGGAGGGGGGCAAGTGCCAATAAAAAGCACACGGGGGCCAACCAATAACAATTGACTTTTGTCTGGCAAACAATATTTGATTTACATAAATGTGCCATCAGGAGTCGTAAAACAGCCCCCCAAAGAAAAGGGTTACAGGCTCCCTTTTCGTTCCGCAAGCATCATTATTTATTGTGATTTGTGATTTGACGCCGTTTACTGCTCGCTCCCTCGCAACGATTAATCAATTTGACAAAGTATTTTCTTCGGCATCAGTTGTTTAATTTTGCATATCGAGGGTTCGGGCTCGGGTTCGGGTTTGGGTCCGTTTGGGTCTCTGAAAAATGATGCCCCGCCAAGGGATCCGTAACTGCGGCTGGTAACTGGTAACTGCCAACTTTACGTTGGCCGGAAACCCCGCACACATGTCACTCCCGAAGGGCGGGGAAGAAAATGCGCATGCAAAGATGGAGGAAGCGGGAAATGTGGTCGGGGCAAAGGCGACATGTTTTTGCTTTTTATCGCAGTTGTGCCAAGCTGAGGCGATTTCTTATTCTCACACCCCGAGTGCGTGACGAGTCCTGTACCGTTGTAGATCACTTCCTGCACTCGAAACTCTTAAAGTTTGCCGCCTAATCTGTCCTCCAGAATTTAATTTGAACGGCTGAAAGAGGGGTATCCAGGGTGCCACTCGATAAGTGTATACATACAAGCAGGGACAAAGAAGCCGTTCGAGTGCAAATCTAAGACAAAGTGAAAATCCAAGGAAAATATCCTTCACTTCACGAAAGTATCGACAAGTTTTCCTGCTTCTGCCGCCGCTGCTACTGCTGCTGCCTCTGCGTTTGATTAAGTTTCCTTTTACTTTCAAGGAGCCGAGGCAAATCGATAGTTGAGCATGCTGAAGTAGCCAGAAAAGAAATATGTGGCCAAAAACAAAGAGCCAGGACAGATGTGACAACCGCAGCACAGGCTCGAGTCCTGGGTCCTGAAATCGGCTTGGGGAAATTCCGTCAAGAGTCAGGACTTGGCACCGATGTCAACACCAACAAAGGCCCATGTTTCGCAGACCAAAAATCCTGGCTTAAATGTTATCCCTGGCAATTAGCCACTGTGTGGAATTTCTCCCTTGAGCAAATGCCATTGATATTTTCATACTTGTTGTGTGGATTTACATGTGGTCTGTATTGATTTTGGAAGCCAATTAAAAGATTGTTTTTCTTTGAAATTGAAGCTAAATGCCTGCAGCTGCCAATCTAAAGTTAGCCACTGTTGAAATGTTTATATCAAATTGTAAAAGGTATTAAAGTGCGTAGGTAAATGTCCTGTGGTTGAAGCAATAGAACATTTGAAACAGTTTTTATTTAAATAGAAATTACCCTTAAGGCTAGATAAATTCAATAAAAATCATAATAAATCATAAACAGAAATCAAATTTAATTCGAAAGAAAAAAATGTGTTACCCCAGAAGGTCCTTGAAAACCAATATACCTGCTGGCACCTGCAGTTTGTTTGCATTCCACTTTTCCGCCTTTTAAGCCGGCAATTTCAGTATTTATTGCAATTAAAATTAATTTCTGCTTTTCCTCCATTCCTCTTCTGTAAAATCCTGCGTCGCACAGGGGCAATTATCTTTGGATCGGATCAGGAGGTGCGACAGGTAATGCGGGCGGTGCGACGGGCAAATGCAACTGGTTCCTTCTCCTGGATTGGCTCCGATGGCTGGAGTGCCCGCAATCTCGTGTCCGACGACTACGAGCCGGAGGTGAGTAAACTATTTCGTCACCCCCGGTGACGGGGCAATTCCTGTCGTCCGGAAATTATAAGCCTAAATGGGCGTTTGATTAATGGTCCGGATTTTGGCCACGCACACAGGCACGCCCACGCACTGGGGCGTGACCATGTGATATGACACCCACAAAAAGGAAAAACATATTTATAAATGATTGCAAACGGAGTATAACACTTTCACCCGCCTTTCCTATGATGAATTATGGCTTAATGGAAATTAATCGTGCGAGTGTGCCGGTGTGCCTGTGTGTGTGTGTGTGTGCGCGCTGCTAATTAATTTGCCAAGACCCTTCAAAACCAGAGATGAGCTCGTGTTTGCCCTGTAATGCCACAGCCACAGAGCACTCACTCGCTCATCCCTGGCCCCAGCCTGCTAGAGAGCGCCCATTAAGCATACGCCACGTGCGCCCCGGTGTCATCAACAGGTTGAAGGCACGCTGTCTGTGCAGCCGCAGGCGAATCCTGTTCGCGGGTTCGAGGAGTACTTCCTCAGTCTCACGGTGGAGAATAACCAGCGGAATCCCTGGTTTGTAGGTAAGTGCTGTTTTCCGAAGTTAAGGCTTTAATTTTTGTTCTATTTTTGTTTTATTTTCTCTCTCAGAATTCTGGGAGGATCATTTCCAGTGCCGTTATCCTGGCAGCACCAGCACTCCGTACAACAACTACACCAAGCAGTGCACCAAAAAGGAGCGACTCTCGCGCCAGAACACGGACTTTGAGGATCAGCTGCAGTTCGTCAGCGATGCGGTCATGGCCTTTGCCTATGCCTTGAGGTGAGTCCTTAAAAGATAACTTACTTCTTAAATAAAATATTATATATTATTTCTGCTTATTTACTAAATGAAACCCCCTATTAAAATCCAATTTCAAGCTATTCTTTAGTTCTTAAATAGTTAAAGAGCAATGGTTTCCCTTTATTTTTCTCCCCCCAAGGGACATGCACCGCGACCTGTGCGGCGGAGGTCCTTCGCTCTGCGAGGCCATGAAGCCGACCAAGGGCGCTGATTTGCTCAAATATTTGCGGAAAGTGGAGTTTGAGGGTGAGTAGAAAGTAAATCCCGGCGAAATTAACGGGATAACTATGGCGCAAAGTAGGAATGCTTCTCGAGTTCTCCTAAAACAGGCTGCCAGACAAACTTGGCAAGTTCCTTGCCCTCGTTTCGTTCGTTCCTTCAGCTGGCAAGTGTTGTGCAAATAGTTTAAGTGGAAATATCCTGGCAGCCCCGTTCCGGCTAGAACACACACATCTGTGTGAGCCAGCGAGTGTCCTACAAGGCGCATTGGCCATGCTCTCGAGTGGAAAATTGACTTGCTTGTCGTCGTCATTGAACTCGATTTGAAATTCAATAAATTACACAGAGAGACGGACGGCCGCAGCCACAGGCTTCCTTCCTTCCTTCCGGCTGCCTGACGCAGATTGTCAATTTTCTGATAGGGCCAAGCGGCGTCGACTTTGGCAGGCGTGCAAAGCCATAAACCCATTTAACCTCGCTTCCATCAGCTGCAATCCAATTCATTCTGATCCATGCCCATCCGCAGGCCTCAGCGGCGACGAGTTCCGCTTTGACGGCAACGGCGACGGCCCGGCGCGGTACAACATCATCCACTTCAAGCAGTCCCAGGCCGGCCAATACCACTGGGTCAAGGTGGGCGAGTACACCGAGGGCGAGCTGCGCCTCAACATGTCAGGTAACTGGACAACTCCACAGCCTACTAGATTCCCGGACTGAAACCTATCCCCCTCTTTTCAGAGGTGAAGTTCAAGCGACTGAGTCCTAAGCCGCCCGAGTCCGTCTGCAGTTTGCCATGCGAACTGGGCCAGGCCAAGAAGTACGTCGAGGGCGAGAGCTGCTGCTGGCACTGCTTCAATTGCACAACCTATCAAGTAAGTGAACACTTTCACCGCCAACTCAGCTGGGCCCGCAATTTATATGCCGACGAGATTGAAATGTTGCTCTGATCTTCTCCGCTCCCGGATAATGGAGACTACGAGTGAAAAACAATTAACTCGTCTGGCCTGAAAGGGCCTGCAATTGAGTTGCTAGCGCTCGCCTTTGTGCGCCAGGCCCCTCCACTCACCAAGTGTTCCTCTCTTTGTGCCTTGTGTCCATTGCAGATCCGACACCCGGATGACGAGACCCATTGCAAGCTGTGCAAGCTGGGCACGCTGCCGGATGCCCACAAACAGTACTGCCGCCCCATTCCGGAGATATATCTACGTCCGGAGTCAGCCTGGGCCATTGGAGCGATGGCGTTTAGCGCGACCGGCATACTGGTAACGCTCTTTGTCATGGGCGTGTTTGTCAGGTGAGAAAATTGAGAAAAGGGGGAAAAACATAAGGGAATTTATACTTTAAATATATGGAAAAATAGGGAGGAAAATGGAGAGATACAACTATATGGATACCCTTTTTCGAGAGAAGTATAGCCTAGTTTTTGTGAGGAAATTGAAAGGATTCGATTGTGAGGAGACCCAGCCTTTGAGGCACTAGCTTATTCATTTTTCTACAGTTAATTTCTTTAAATTCAACTTGTAATTTTATTAAAATCTAAGCCCTTGAATATCTTCTTTAATTTATCCTTGACATTTTTCGCCTTTAAACTTTCCACTCTTGTAACTAGTTTGTACCTTTGAAATCCCGATTTTGCACTCGACTTATCCATTGGCACGATAAAGTTTGTTTGTGTCGTTGATATGGAGCAGCAATTAAAAACTTTTCCCCTAGTCCCAGCTGCTAACTTTGCCACAAAATGTACAGAGCAGATACGTAAAAAATATGTTATAATTGGTGCAAAAGATTCAAATGGTTACGATGCAAGTTTCTAACTTCAGTTATGGTGTTTTCCCTCCCCTTTCTTTCCCTGCCAGGCACAATGACACGCCCATCGTACGGGCCTCGGGCCGGGAGCTGAGCTACATCCTGCTGGCCGGCATTTTCATGTGCTACGGCGTCACCTTTGCCCTGGTCCTGAAGCCCACGAACATAGTGTGTGCCATTCAGCGGTAAGTGTGCAAATTGCAGAGGTGTTGTGCTTGATTTTACACCGTTTTTCGCTGTCTACAGGTTCGGCGTTGGCTTCTGCTTCACGGTCGTCTATGCCGCGCTTTTGACCAAAACGAACCGGATTGCGCGCATCTTCAAAGCGGGCAAACAGTCCGCCAAGCGACCCTCGTTCATCAGCCCCAAGTCCCAGCTGGTTATATGTACGTGCCTGGTCAGTGTGCAGGTGAGTGTGGTTTTTAGTGGGAGTCTGACAGGATCCGGATGCGGGATGCGGGATATGGCTACCGCTAACAGCGTCTATCAACTCACCCGTCCTCTCTATATACTCCCTTTCCAGATACTCATCAACGGCGTTTGGATGGTAATTGCACCATCACATGCCATGCATCATTATCCCACACGCGAGGATAACCTGCTCGTCTGCGACTCCTACATCGACGCCTCCTACATGATTGCGTTCTCCTACCCAATATTCCTGATTCTAATTTGCACAGTCTACGCGGTGCTCACGCGAAAGATTCCGGAGGCCTTCAACGAATCGAAGCATATTGGTGGGTATACTTTGGCAGTAATTAAATTGATTACTTTATTGCGAATTTTTGGGAGTGTCTAGGAGGTCTTTAATAACTGTAAAGATATATTTTTCAAAGCGAGTACCTTTTTTGTGAGATTTAAATACAAATTGGCGCTCTGAACGGACTTTAATTATTAAAAATTCCCTTTAAAATATTCCGTTTAATTTATATCTGCATTTTTGCAAACAATCACTGCCGCATCGAATTCCATAACACCTTAATTAATTCACTTATGTGGACATCAAATTGAGGTAAAAATATACATGTATTCATGATTTTGCACATTTGAGAGCTTTATAAATTCGTGACTGATAGGTGGGAGGTGAAATTTGAATAAAAATTTTCAATATGTATAGATTACAGGATAACGAAAGCCTCCAATAAAATGTATATAAATTGTATTATTTTTATTTCTTTACAGGCTTCACCATGTACACAACCTGTGTGATTTGGCTGGCCTTTGTGCCGCTCTACTTTGGCACCGCCAACCATGTGCCGCTCCGTATTACCAGCATGTCGGTGACCATCAGCTTGTCCGCCAGCGTGACCATCGCCTGCCTCTTTTCGCCCAAGGTGAGTTTTGTTAATTGGGAAAGGAAGGGAGGGAGTGGGCATGGGAGTGCCCAAAGATGGCTCCGGCAATTAATGGCCGGTAATTGCGTTATGCATTAATTATTGCGTATTTTACTGGCGCCACGTTAAATGATTTTGGGTGCAGCGCGCAGCCACTGCCACCGCCATCGACCATTGGCCATTTTCATTCCGCTTTATTCGCTCCGGACGCAAAGACGAGTGGTTCATTAAAATGCAATAAGGCGGAAGACGACGGGGAGGCAGGCGCCAAGGGGTTTTTAATTCAGCAGCCGGATTCATAATTTGCGATGTGTTGCCGGCCATATTGTTTTTAACGTTCTCCGGCAACTTGCTCGGGGTGCTTGTGGGTCCTTTGCCATTTCATTATGTTTAATCGGGAGAATGTTGAAATGTCAACAAGCCAAGTCCCGGGAGCAAGCTGCTCAAAAGCTCCTCTGACCCTGGGATCTCGTCCTTCACTGTTGTTTTTCTGCGTTTTTATGTGTTCATCCCCAGCTCCGTAGCGGCCATATTTTTTAATACCCTTCGTTATTAGCCATTAAGTCGCAGGAAAACTGCAAGCCAAGCCAAATATCGGCAGTTGGCAACTCGTGGAGCGAAGGATGCAGCAGAAGGGAATTTTCGGACGGAATTCAACTGCCAAACTCGGCAGCTTATCCTTGCATCCTGCCATGTTCATGTTCCTGAGCTGAGAATGTTTTCGCTGGAATTTTGCCAGCACCAAAGTGATATATCCAGGAAGTTGCATTTATTTAACGATGGGTATTTCGTAAGAAAAATGAGTAAATCAAACCGAAACCCAATTACAAATTGAGCTAACACAATTGTAGTTATCATAGCTGCTTCCAACTTAAATGGTTACATTTTATGGGTCTGTTCTGTCTGCATATTCCGGGTACAAAGTGGCAGAGGGAGAGCCGAGTTGGGGGGCACAGGGCCATAAACACTCGGCACAGGTGCTATTATTAAATGTCAGAGCATAAAATACTCCTTGGGCCACTGGCTGGCTAACCGGGCCAACTGTCCGCTATCAGATGTCACCTAATGCACGGTTACAGTAACATACACACAACACTAGACTACCAACACACACACCCACAACTCGAGCCATAAAAATGCAATTTACAATCGCTGGCACTGGGGCAAAAGGCGAAATAAAACACAAGAAAGTGGAAAGGTGGCATGCCGCAAAGCAACTGGGGATCACTGGACTAAAAGCCAACAAACTAAAGCCCAGCCGTAAGGGTGCCAACGGGGCGGGCCACGCCCGCTTCCGGCGGAACAAAGGCGCACCGGACTGGTAAGCAATTTTGACTTCCGACTGCCATTCGCCCATTCCTTGTCCGGTTGCGCCTCAGTTTGTTTTCCCACTTCCCCCGTTTGTTTGTGGCACCTGAGAGAGGGGAAAACAAGAAAACCATAACAAACGGCGTCCAAATGGCAGCCAAACAATATCAAAGCATGGCGGAAATGACCGTACGGCCGTACAGGCTACGTAACCCAACGCAGCGTAACGCAATTGGGAACGTAACAGGCACTGCAAAAAGTTTTTAAAGTTTTTTTACCTGGTTACTAGTTATTAGAAAATAAAACAAAAGTAGAAAATTACAAATTTTAATTTGATTTAAATTTGATTTGAATTTGATTCGAATTTGATTAAGTTTATTTTAAATTAAATTTGATTTTGAAGTTCTAAAGAATTTCTTTCTGTGCCTGCATTTGACTCAAGTCGTTGGCCTCTGTTTGGCCCACAATTACTGCTAGTAAGCGAAAAGGGAAATGGTTAATGACACTTGGCCTGGGATTGGAATTGGAATTGAGTCCTGACGGTGGGCGTGACCGATGCCAGGGGGCGGCGGCAGGTCACGCACTGAGTTCTAATAAAAGCCACGAGCAAGAGTCGCAGATAAGCCAACAAGGAGACTGGGAAATTAGATATCGTTCCGCAACGCCACTAGCGTACAATGGGTGATATGATTAATGCCTGATAGCACATCAGCTCCCTGGTTCGATCGGAGAAATTAACGTAATTGGAAGCACACTGATTTTCCCCCTCGGACGCATGCCCGTGTCTTTGCAGTTGTACATAATACTCATACGCCCCGAGCGCAACGTGCGCCAAAGCATGATGCCGCCGCGCTATGGCAACATGCACCGCACCGCTGGAACAGGCCCCTCCTCGATGATGGCCGCCGCCGTGGTGACCGCTGCCACCTGCGCGCAGGAGGAGAAGATCCAGAAGCATATCACGCCCACAAACACGGGTAAGCAAGACGTAGTGGGGTGTTGTTACCTGGGATACATGGTCATGAACTCTGTCATCATTATTTGTATCTTTAATCTTTTAAATTCTTACATTATTCGTAGTTGGGATATTTTTTATATGGGTAAATCCTTATTCCTTACAGAGCACTCGCTCAAGACGAAAAAACTGTGCGAAATGGCCACGCAGACGATTTCCAGTATTATCACGTCGCTGGACATTAACGCCTACAACCAGATACCATATGCCGATCAATATGTGCCAAACAATACCACAACGGCCACGACCACGCCCACGGAAAAGGGCAGTGGCAACGGCAATGGCAACGGCAATGGCAACGGCAATGGCAACGGCAATACCAACAGCAATGGCGGTAACAATAGCAATAGCAATGGCAATGGATGTGGCGACGAGGCTGCGGAGCAAGTGGTGGCCAACAATAACAAAATCAATCAGCGGCAACATGGCCAGGCGGTGGTGGGCTTTGCCCTGGCACCAACAACAGCAAACAATCACATAAGCGGCCCAGTAACAGCAGCCGTTGCAACAACAGCAGAACCGGCAGCAGCTACAAATACAATGGGAGCAGCGGGAGTTGCAACAGCAACAGCTGGAACGGGGTGCGATGTAAACGAGACCACATCCCTGGGAGTCAACAATGGTCAGCATGGCAATGGAGGCCAAAGGCCGCCGGTTTTGCAAACAAACTTATAGCTAAACGCACAGCAATTGCAGCAGCAGTTGCTGAAGGAGCAGCAGCGACAGCAGCAGGCCGAGTTGCAGCAGCAGCAGCAACCTGCCACACAAAGCTCTTCCAGCGATGCAGGCAGCACGGGCAGCGGCACTGCCACCAAGAAGCGAGCCGCCATTCCCGTTTAGGCCGCCATCGGGGATTCCCCCGCCCCAACAATACGTAAGTTAAAGCGTCTAGAGATGTGCCAGGAGACAGGACAGAGAATAAGAGATGTCAGGAGTACTATCTTCCCGATTGTATTCCTTCCCAACTCAATCGAGTTTGAAGCCCTTTGTTAAGTCTTTCGATTAAGTGTTTCCTCGGCTTCTCAGTAAATAAATCAAATATTGTAAGTAAAATAATTGCTGTGGCATGTACATTTCCACGATCCTTGTAAATTGAAGACCCTTGAGAAGTAAGCAGGCAAGAGTGAACTGAATTTGTAAAGCCCAAAGAAGTATATAGGTCAGCTTGATAGACATTTTTTCGTAATTCTTCCCAAATACAAGTAAATACGAGTGTAAGCATTAACGAGAGTTATATGTCATCCCTTTAAATACTATCAATAAGTGTTTAACTCTTAAGCTTATCTAGTTTTCTAAGCGTTGTTTCAAAACAGTTCCGAACGAAACAAAAAATGCAAAAAATGTGATATAATTTCAAAAATGTGTTTTCTACAACCAGAGCGACTAGCGAACTATCTGAATAGTGTGAAATTACGTAGCATAAGCCAGGCAAACGCTGTACAGTGAGCACCGGGAGAGGAGGGATTTTTTTGCGAGGGCGCAATTATGTTGCAAAAGGGCTGGAAGGCAACTGGAGAGCAGCCCCTCTGCAACATAGCGGCAAGTCGAGTCGGCGGATCCAGCTAGTAGGTAGAACAATTTCAATTGCATTTATTGTGTTGTTTGAGCCCATCAACATGGTAGATTTAATTGTTGTCCCACTGAGTTGTACATAAACTAAAGAGTCGTAGTTATAGACCTTGATGTGAATACGGTTTAATGTTAATTGTGTGCCGCTTAACCGCATAGTTAAATATTTGTTATAGAGCGCAAGTAATGCCAGTCATGTCTAGCCAAATCATGGGTACAAAAACTAGCGAAATATATTCGTTTTTCGTGTCTGTGTGTTAAGTGTAAATACTCGTTAATGGATCCCTCGAAGCATCCAAAACATTTCAGATAATTACTCGATGTATAGCTATTAATATTATTGACAAACAATACGCTAAATGTTATTTGGCAGCATATATATGTATATTTACGAATAAAGACGAATATCAAACCATTACGGATTTGGGTATATGTGTAATACGTCGGTAAGAACCAAGGCTTCGGCGGGCTGCACATGGAGGTCTCCGTACCAAACTCTGTTTGGGAGAAACAAAATAAATCTTTACAACTCCATATGAAGGATGACTTACCCCAATGTTAATTCAGAGCCCAAACTCTTAATGATCAGTCTAAAAAGGGAGCGATCTGCAAGGTCCGGCAAATAAACGGTTTCTTCCTTGGAGCCAAAGTTTATGGCCAGCAAATATTTATCTTCGTCGCCGTAAGTGCTGTGAAGGTAAGATCTTAGCATGATGACCTATCTCCCAAATAAGTAGCCCTCACTCACCGTAGAACCACAAATAGATCATCCCCTATAACCCAATACTTGGTGGATCCGTTCTGCAGGGTCTTCGACGATTTTCGCAAGGCCATTAGTTCCTTGTAAATCTTCAGGTGGGACTCCTCTGCCGCCAACTCTGATTCCACGTTCACGGTCTTGTAGTCAGCTGCCAGAGGCAGCCACGTGGTGGATCCATTGGTAAAGCCTGCATTCGTACCCGAAGTCCACTGGAACGGAGTCCGCTCCGGGTCCCTCGTGTACTGCTCGTAGATACTGGGGTTAGAGTTGCAGCCCCAGGGATCGACGGTGTCCTCCCAGCTGATTTCGCCATCGGTCATGCCCAGCTCCTCGCCCTGGTAGGTGACACTGACGCCCGGCAGGATCATCACCAGCATGTTCATGGCATCGATGTACTCCTTGCCATACCGACTGGCAGCCCTGCGCTTATCGTGGTTACCTAGCTGTAATCTCAGGGGATTAGTGCTTCAGGGGCTCAGGTTTTCAGCTGCTTCAACTCACCACCCAGTTGGGCGTGCGACCCGCCGGCATATTATTCAGCCACAAATCGATTGCCTCCTTGACGTGGCCGGCACTTAAACCCTTCTCCTCCATCACAGTGATAAGGTTGAAGTTGAAGGGCAGATGGGCTCCCTCCCTGGTGCGATTACCGTAGAATTGCATGGTGAACCACGCTGGGGCATAGGTCTCTATCAACAAAACACTCGAGTTTCCGCCGTATATGCGCTGATAATCGTCCAGCACAGTGCGCCACTGATAGACCATGTCGATGGTCTCCGGCTGATTCTCAATGTATTTCACGGTCAGGTAGTTGCGATCCTCAGAGTCCTCGGTGGCCCCGCTAACGACCTCATCGGGATACTGTCCCTCGGCATCCGGCAGGACTTCGAAGAGCGGTGGCAGGGCGTCGCATCTGAATCCAGATACTCCCTCCTTCAGCCAATAGCGCAGCACCCGCTTCATCTGCTCCACAACGGCGGGATTCCGGTAGTTGAGATCCGGCTGCTGCACGGCGAATTGGTGGAGATAGTACTGCTGCCGCACCTCGTTCCACTCCCAGGCACTGCCCCGGAAGTACTGCAGCCAGTTGGTGGGCGGCTCCCTCTCGCCAGTAGTTGCGTTCACCTTTCCGTCGTGCCAGACGTAGTAGTCCTCGTAGCCTCTTTCGCGATTCACCGATTTCTTAAACCAGATACTCTCGTTGCTCGAGTGATTGGGAACAAAGTCTAGGATGATTTTCAAATCCAGCTCCTTGGCTCTCTTGATCAAGGCTCGAAAGTCCTCAAGGGTTCCGTACTCTGGCTGAATGTCGAAAAAGTCGGATATGTCGTAGCCAAAATCCACCATCGGAGAGGTGAAAATCGGCGATAGCCAGGCAGCAGTAACACCCAGATCCTTGAGATACTCCAGCTTGCTGGTGATGCCGTTCAAATCGCCAATGCCATCGCCATCGGAGTCCATAAAGGAGCGCGGGTAGATCTGGTAAAACTGGGCATACTGCCACCAGTCCTTTTTAGTTGCGGCGGAGGCACAATCACCTTGGCCGATGGTGAATAGCAAAAGCGTGAGGAGCGCTGCCAGCTCCATTGTTGCTTTTAAAAAATCCAAAGTGTTATGAGCAAGACACCGCCAATTGTTTGCTATTTTATACTTCACCCCCTCTATCTGCTTGATAAGGCTGATAAGCTCTCTTCAGGTGAGTAAATCAAAAGTAGGCCAATCAAATCGCACTGCCCGGAACTGATATGGGAAAAGTTTTCCAAGTGCCTTCTCAAGTGTTTTGCCAATTGAGTCAACTCGATGCTCGTTTATCATATAAGCCCCGCTAATCCAGCCATTGGGGGTTGATTGAGAACCTATAAAAGCAGCAGCAGTAAGTAATTGCAATCAAATTCCGAGAATGCAAAGAACAATAATAAATCGTGTGGGTGTCCTGGCCCTTTGGCTAGTTATCCTGGCCCAGCCTAGCAAGCCGTGCGAGACCACAACGTCGGCCACAGCCACAAAGGATTGGTGGCAGAATGCCCAGTTCTACCAGATCTACCCGAGATCCTTCATGGACTCCGATGGCGATGGCATTGGTGACCTGAATGGCATCACCAGCAAGCTGGAGTACCTCAAGGATCTAGGCGTAACTGCTGCCTGGCTGTCGCCCATTTTCACCTCTCCGATGGTGGACTTTGGCTACGACATATCCGACTTCTTTGACATCCAGCCGGAGTATGGAACCCTGGACGACTTCAAGGCTCTAATCAAGCGAGCCAAGGAGCTGGATCTGAAAATCATCCTGGACTTTGTGCCCAACCACTCGAGTAATGAGAGTATTTGGTTTAAAAAGTCGGTGGCTCGTGAGAAGGGCTACGAGGACTTTTACGTGTGGCATGACGGAAAGGTAAATTCCGAGACCGGAGCACGAGAGCCTCCATCCAACTGGCTGCAGGCCTTCCGGGGCAGTGCCTGGGAGTGGAACGAAGTGCGGCAGCAGTACTATCTCCACCAGTTCGCCGTTCAGCAGGCCGATCTCAACTACCGGAATCCCCTTGTTGTGGAGCAAATGAAGCGGGTGCTGCGCTACTGGCTGGACCTCGGAGTTGCCGGCTTCCGATGCGACGCCGTGCCCGTGCTCTTCGAGATCGAGACAGATGCTAATGGTCAGTATGCCGACGAGGAGGTGAGTGGTTTGACGAACGACACCGAGGCCCGGAACTACCTCAAGAGCGATCTGATAGAGAACCGCCAAGAAACCATCGACATGGCCTATCAGTGGCGCGTCGTTATGGACGACTACCAACGCATCCATGGCGGAGACACGAGAGTCCTGCTCATTGAGACCTACGCACCGCCCGCCTACACCATGCAGTTCTATGGCAATCGTAGTGTCGAGGGAGCCCATCTGCCCTTCAACTTCAACCTGATCACTGTGCCGGCCAGCGAGGGATTCTCGGCGAGCTCCGTCAAGTTGTCGGTGGACAACTGGCTGAATAATCTTCCTTCTGGTCGCACCGCCAACTGGGTGATTGGAAACCACGATCAGCGGCGGGCGGCCAGTCGGTATGGAGAGGCCAACGCGGATGCAATGAACATGTTGGTGATGATCCTGCCAGGAGCCAGTGTTACTTACCAGGGCGAGGAGCTGGGCATGACCGATGGCGAGATAAGCTGGGAGGACACCCAGGATCCGGCGGCCTGCAACTCCAACTCTCAGATCTACGAGCAGTTCACCCGCGATCCCTCTCGCACGCCCTTCCAGTGGACGAGTGGCACTAATGCAGGATTTTCCACGGCCGCCAAGACGTGGCTGCCACTGGCAGCGGATTACCAAACGGTGAACGTGGAAACGGAGACGGCAGCCCAGCGTTCCCATTTGAAGATTTACAAGTCTCTGGTGGAGCTGAGAAAGTCCTCGCTGACTCTGCAGAATGGTTCCACGAAATACTCGGTGCTAATGTGTTTGTGGTAAAGCGGTGAGTGAATCTTTTACACTAACATATACCTTGAAACCTCTCTAAAACTGGTACTTAACCCTATAAGTAAACACAGTGCTGAGTCAGAATTTATGTACCGAAAAACCTTTTACGTAGAATTCCCAGAATTATAATTAAAGAACGTTCCCAACTTATTTCCTTTGCAGTTACCTCTCCGGCTCGCAGTCCATTATTTACGTGGCCAACCTTGCCAGCAATGGTGTCACCGTGAACCTGTACGACTTTGACCAGAGCCTGCCCACCCACCTGACGCTCCTTGTGCGCAGCCTACAGTCCGCGAAGGCGGAAGGGTGAGTCAACTTCCCGAACCCAACAATTCCCCCAAAAATATTGACCATATCATGGCTATCCCTTCAGCTCCCTGTTTGAAGTCACCGGACTGAGTCTGGCGGCCGGCGAGGCACTGGTGCTCGGCACTTCCTGATTCGATTGGACTACCTTGCAGTATCTGGCGCACTTGAAAGACATACCGACTTGGGCCACTCAATCGGCATTTATCTCCGGCTCAAAGCAAATATGCCGTGGCTTGCATAAATAAATAAATAAGCAAAGAACCAGACAAACAAACCACTCCACCCCGGGAACACCACACATATCCTGAGCCCCCAGATAAGCTCGAGTGCCCGAGTGCGTTCTCTTTTAATTCCCGGTTCGGCGGCGGGGTTCGCCATTTAAAGTGTTTACACACAAATTAAAGTCAAGCACAAGTCCCCGCCCCGTCCCGTATCCGTTCGACTTGTGTTCGTTTGGTAAGTATTTCGTGTTTTATACTCGAAAGGAGGACCCCCAAGAGTATGTGTGTGTTTTACACAATGTAAATACAGACGACGGCCAGGGACTAGGCCTATAAAGCAGCAGCAGCAGCGGCAGCAGGGTCCCCCAGCATCGCGGACTCTTTGAAGTCGAAACCTTCGAGAGGGGGGCTTGATGAGTTCACGCAGATAGCTCCGGCAATTTTCCCAGCGAGATTTATTAGCAATCTTGGAAATTTCTGAGGCAACCCTGCAGTATTTATTCTCTGTCCCCCCGAAAAGAGGGCAGCTGAAAGCAGAACTTCAATTGCGTTATAAATAATTAAATTGCGTTTACACATGGTAATTGGCAGACGCCTGCGATACCCCAGTTGCCAGATGCAAGGATTTTTGGCTTATAGAAACTTGTCTCGCCGCACACACTCACACTCGAGGTCTTGCGGCCAACCTGAGTTGGGTCTGGGGATGGGTCTAGAAACCCTACAGACCGGCTGAAATAACAATTTCGTTAACGCTCACTGAAGTCGAGTAATTACCTGACTGGAGTGGATTTCACGTGCGATTAGTTTGAGAACAATAAACAGATTGAAATTCGAAGGACGCTCCGCTCCGTCTGCCTTAAAATCTTTACAAATTATTTTCTCCTTTTAAATAATCTCAGACCCATTCGATTTGTTCGGTTTTGGCTTTGTTGGCGCTGAAAAAATTAGCAGTCTGCGTCGGCCGGGCCACAAAAATGAATAAAATGGAATCGTGTAAATGGCTGCGTGACCCGTCAGGCCCATTAAAAAGGTCACAGACACGGCTCCAGTTCCAGTTCCAGCTCCGGCCACTTTACCCTTGCGCACGTGACCAGAAACCAAAAAAAAAAAAAAAAAAAAAACAAGAAAGGAAAAAGAAATGCGTATGGAATTGTGGATGGATGATTGTGGAAAATGAAAACCGCAAAAGCAGGACAGACGGCAACCCAGTGCCACCTGATCGCAAGGCCTTGCCTCTGCCTTTTGTGCATTTCATTTTCCAACAGATAATGAAGTTAATTTCCCAAAGAGGAAGGGGAATAAGGCGCCCAAATGATTACATTTAAGATGATTTTCGCAGATTTACGCAGCTCGGACAAAAGTTTGCTCCCCTTCCGATTGGAAAACTTTTAAAACGCATTAAGCCCGCCGTAATCTGCAGGGGTTTCGAGCTCCCGAAAGCCGGAAGCGAGCATCCCGGCACATCCTTGCACATTTAGTTAACGAATTCGTGTTCCCCGACACCGTTTGCATATTAATATTGAGAGCCTAATATTTGAGTTTGATTTCAGGCCGCTCTTAACGAGCTGCGCTCACCACCGGTTGCGGCACGTGCCAGCCGGCCAGGTGAGTCCCGGGCCCGAGAGTCCATCTAATCGCTGGCCGCTCATTAATTGCACCGCAAACAGAGCTCATAACCGGCGTCCAACGGGTTGACGAGCTGGATCCTGGATAGGAGTCTCTCATTTGAATGACTCTCACGTAGGTGATGTTTCGGTGTTTGGGGGGGTGGTGATGTTTTCGGGTCCGTTGGCTTTTTCTGACAACTGAGCCCGCAAAGAGCCCCGGCCGATGACAGACCAATTGTCGCCAATGTGATGAACTGCGGTGGCACTCGCTCAGATTCGCAATCCAGCTGCTGCCCACGATGATGGTGCACAGTTGGGTTTAAAGGTAACTTAACAGAGTGGAACGGCTTTAAGGGCCTCATTTTCTGGGTTAGTTTTGGGTTGCCAAAAATAGAAGCCAAGGTGAAAATTCATCATAATTTTACTTCATTTTTTATGAGTAAATTAAAAAGCCAACCAAGGTGCTGCTTTTCTCTGTGGCTGTCTCGGCTGTCAAGTGCGACAACTACAACCACATCCCATCCTCCCTGTCGTAACACTCCCACGCACACTCACGCACCCTTACAGGGCGCCTCATTTCCGAGACACCTTCTGCGGTCCTTCGTCCTTTTTGTGTGGCAGCAACGCTGCGTATGCGTGATTTGTGTGTCTTATCAATCACGTCTAATGGAATTTCTTTTGGCCCCCGCCCTATACCCGCACCACTGGCTGGGAGGCTCTGCTGACTCTTGAACCAGGACAAAGTTCCCTAATAATTTATAATAAGTTGGCCCAGCACGCGACCTTAAAATTGAAAAGTTTTCCAATGTCGTTCGCCCCATAACAGGCCATATCCCATCGATGTACTTTATGTATGTTACGCATATTATTCTTGTCGAACTTATGATTATGTAAACTCTAGACAGACTCCAAAATCAAGGCCGCATAAGGCTCCAAGGACAGGTTGCTCAGGGTGACGGAATCCCTGCAAGCGTGAAATGGAAACTTGTTAATAAAGTATGTAATTTTTAGCATTAAAAGTTAAGCTACTTACCCAACGGTGGCCTTGGCCAGCGGATTCAGCAGCTTGATCGTGTAGTTGCCAGTGGCAAACAGGGCACTTTCTACATCCACTCCCGAGACAGCTGTGTCCAGCACGTTGGCCACCAGCACATAGGTGCTATTCCCGGTCAGCGATCTCTTGATGGCCACCACATTTTCACCCACATTGGCATATCGAGTGGCGCCCAGCTGCAGGGTCTTCTGCTTGCGCAGCTCCACCAGCTGCTTGTACAGGCTCAGGTGACTGGGACTCGTGGCATTCTCGGTCTTCACATTCACCGTCACATAGTTCGGATTGATGGGCAGCCAGGTGGTGGCGTTGGTCGAGAAGCCGGCGTTGGCCTCGTCGCTCCACTGGAAGGGAGTCCTCGCAGGATCGCGAGTAAACTGCTCATAGATATTCGCATTGGAGTTGCAGGCCGCCGGATCACGAGTGTCCTCCCAGCTGATGTCCAGATCGGTCATGCCGAGCTCCTCGCCCTGGTAGGTGACGCTCACGCCGGGCAGGAACATCTGCAGCATGTTCATCAGGTCGATGCGGTTCTCGCCATAGCGACTGCCCACTCGGCGCTGGTCATGATTGCCCATCTGTACACCACATAAAATAGGTTTACTGAAAGGATTTAAGGATTAGCTTGGATTACTTACCACCCAGTTGGCTGTCTGGCCGGCGGGCATCTGGGTCAGCCAGCTGTTAATAATCTTCACGAACCCCACGGCGTTCAGTTGAGTGTTGTTCTTGTCCCCATTACCGCCCACAATGAACTGGAAGTTGAAGGGGATCTGGGCGCCCTTGGTGGTGCGGTTGCCATAGAACTGCATCACATAGTCCAGACCAGAGTAGGTCTCCACCATGATGACTCGGGTGTCGCCGCCATGAATCCTTTGGTAGTCATCCAGCAGGGTCCTCCACTGGTAAACCATTTCCACGGTCTCCCGCAGATCCTGAGTGTAAATGTGCTTCAGGTAGGAGGAGTCATCGGGATCATCTGTGTACCCGCTCAGCGGCTCATCCGGATAGCGGCCATCAGCGTCGGGCAGAACCTCGAAGCACCAAGGCACGGCGTCCATCCGGAAACCGGCCACTCCGCGGTCCAGCCAGTAAGTAAGTACTCGCTTCATTTGAGCAACAACGGCGGGATTGCGATAGTTCAGATCGGGCTGCTTGACTGCGAACTGGTGGAGGTAGTACTGCTGCCTCACGTCGTTCCACTCCCAGGCACTGCCACGGAAGGCCTGCAGCCAGTTCGAAGGAGGTTCCCTCACTCCAGTGGAGGCATTCAGGTAGCCGTCGTGCCACATGTAGTAGTCCTCGTAGCCTTTCTCCCGATTCACGGACTTGGTGAACCAGACATTCTCGTCGCTCGAGTGGTTGGGCACAAAGTCCAGGATAATCTTGATGTTACGCTTGTTGGCCTCCGCGATCAGCTCGTCAAAGTCGGAGAGTGTTCCGTACTCGGCTTGGATGTCAAAGAAGTCGGAGATGTCATAGCCAAAGTCCGCCATGGGCGAGGTGTAGATGGGCGACAACCAAGTGGCCGTCACTCCAATCTCCTTCAGGTAATCCAGCTTTGAAATGATGCCCTGCAGATCGCCGATGCCATCGCCATTGGAGTCCTTAAAGGAGCGTGGATAAATCTGGTAGAACTGCGCCACCTGCCACCAGTCGCGAGTGGTATCCGTCGAGGTGGAAGCCCGCTCAAGGAGATCCGGATCCACGACTCCTGCTCTCCCAAGGGCACTCTGCAGGCCGAGAGCGAGTATCACTGCTATTAAGTTATTCAGACACGCCATGACTGACTGACCACAAGGCTGGTGGAAACCCCCTTTTATAGCCCTCCTCCCAGAGATCTTTCCAGCGATAAGCTCGAGTGCTATGACTTTATTTTCCGCTAATAACTAATAGGGTGGGAGCTCAACGACTGCTCAGATAGAGCGCCACTTGAGCCAGCCAGAGATAAACACCGAGAGCGGGAAGCGAGCGGAGCTCTCCGTTGGTGGCGTAACCGTAGTAAGAAGAGGTAGCCTCCAGGATGAGAGAGTCCTTGGGCTGCAGCTGCAGCGAGGTAGAGTTGATAAGATCGCTGCGAAATTGAGAGTGTTAGATCAACATTTAGGGACTCCTAAGGGTACGCGACCTACCCCACTTTGACTTGAGATCGCTCCGTGATCAGAAGAACTCTGAGCTGAGCCGGCAAGTCCTTGAAAGTCTGCTGCAGATTGATAGTCTCCACTCCATCGTAGATGTTCATCAAGGTCAGCAGTGTTGACTCATGCTCGAGGGAACTGAAAACAAGCGGGTTTCATTATCTGTAAGTATATTTATATAAACAATGTACCACTCCTCACCGTTTAACAGCCAGCACTGTATCGCTGAGGGCCTTCACTTGGGTGTCACCCCGCTGGAGGGTCCGAGATTGCCGCCTCAATTTCCAGAGCTGCTTGAAGACGTTCAAGTGACTCAGGGGCTTCTGCTGCTCCAGCTCCACATTGACCTGCTTGTAGTTCTGGGCTATGGGCAGCCAGGTCTTGCTGGCATTGCTGAAGCCAGCATCCTGAGCGTCGCTCCACTGGAAGGGTGTGCGCTCAGGATCGCGGGAGAAGTTCTCATAGATACTTGGGTTGGTGTTGCAGGCAGAGGGGTCCACGGTGTCCTTCCAGGAGATCCACACATTGGTCATGCCCAGCTCCTCGCCCTGGTAGGTGACACTGGCGCCGGGGAGAGTGCTCGTGAGCATGTTTAGCATGTCCACGCGATCTGTGCCCAAACGGGAGCCAACTCGGGGCTTATCATGGTTGCCCAGCTGGGAAAAGAGAAGAAAGATTAAATAAACAATGAGCCATAAATGGTATATAATAATTTCTTCAGCAAAATCTAGTTCCTATTTCTGCATTTTATTACTAAAAAATAGCTCTAATCAGTTTTGATTGTAAACTCATATTGTTCCTACAAATGTAAGCAAAATATTAAATAAACAAAAACAAATTAAAGCCTTATCAAAACCCAAAAGTGTAAACAAATTCGATGAAAAACAATACCACTTGTGTTGATTGTTCTCAAAGTGGCCATAAATGCTATTTGCTATAAATTACTGGTGTAATGCTCTAGCTTAGTAATTTCAAGAGGATCCTGTTTGGTAATAACACTATAGCTCACCACCCAGTTGGCGGTGCGTCCCTTTGGCATGTGCTGTAGCCACTTTTGGATGGTGTCCTCGTAGGCGTGGGCATTCGACGAGTTCGAGATTTCGCTAATCAGCAGAAAGTTGAACGGCAGTTGGGCTCCCTCCGCGGTCTCGTTGCCATAGTAACGCATCACGATGTTAATGGGCGAATAGGTCTCGGCCATCAAGATCCGCTCATCGCCTCCGTTATCCCGCTGGAAGGCGTCTAGCACGGCACGCCAAGAGTAGACTAGGTCAATGGTCTCCGGCTGATCCACGGTGTAGATGTGCTGCAGATAGCCATAATCCTCGGGGTCGTTGTCCCAATCATTGCGCGGTTCGTCGCGATACTGGTTCTGTGCATCCGGCGCAATCTCGAAGACATGAGGCACTGCATCGATGCGAAAGCCCGCGACGCCCTTGGCCAGCCAAAAGCGGAGAACGTTCTTAAAGAGAATTGAAAATTATTAATAATATTGTAGACTTGAAAGCAGTATTTTCATTAAGTTTTAGGATGATATATAAATGATTACTTAATAGAAACTTTAAATATTTTAGACGTTTCTCAACCAGGACAAAAAAAAATCTTCAGTTTAAAATAAATCTTAATTGGGGTCAGGCAATTTTGTAATTTGCTATATTTAAATCACAAGAAAGCAGCTCATTGGACATTATAAAATTCGAAGACTTTAAATCGAATTTAAGCAGAAATTGTACCTTTATTTGATACTCACATTCATGGCCTCCCGAACCTTGGGGTTTCGATAGTTCAAATCCGGCTGCTTTTTCACAAACTGATGCAGATAGTACTCTTGCCTACCCTCGTGCCACTGCCAGGCGCTGCCCCGAAAAACACTAATCCAATTGGAAGGCGGACGGCGATTGCCATTCTCCACATGGCCAGGATGCCATACATAGAAATCCTTATACTCCGGATCTCCTGCCGCTGATCTGCGGAACCATTCGCACTCGTCACTCGAGTGATTGGGCACAAAGTCCAGAATGATCTTGATGTCCTGCTCCTTGGCCACTTTCATTAGTTTCTCAAAATCCTCCATAGTACCAAAGATCGGCGCAATTTCCGTGAAATTGGCAATGTCATAGCCAAAATCGGCCATCGGCGAGGTGAAGATGGGCGACAACCAAGTGGCCGTGATGCCGATTTCCTTGAGGTAGGGCAGTTGCGCTGCGATTCCTGATTGTGAGAAATTGTTAAATAATATAAAAAATAAACACACTTTCCCTGCTTTTCACACCATTCAGATCGCCCACGCCATCGCCGTTGCTGTCTTTAAATGACCTTGGGTAGATCTGGTAGAAGGCGCCAGTTTGCCACCACTTGAGATCCGTGTCCTTCTCTTCGATGTCCACAAAGTCCGCATGGTAGTTGGGAAAGGGCTGGCTCCAAGCTGGGCAGAGGAGCTGCAGCAGCACCACAAATAAAGCCGCCAAGCTCTGCTTAATCATCGTATGAGTAAAGCGTTGTGATTAGTCCAGTTCCGATCAGAGCAGACGCTCAAATGCGACTGCCGATCGAGTGAAAATGAGATTTATGCCGGCCACATGCTTATGTAAATTCAGGAGAGTGAGAGAAAGAGAAAAATCAAATGGATGTAGAAAGAAATATTCATCGGGGGCATAAGAAATTATAAATATGTCATATATATATTTAAAGAAAATAACTAAAAATAACTAAATTTGTTTTATGGTATAATATAGGTTTGCTTTATTGTATAGATGTATTTTAATATTATTTTAAATTTACAAATATTATATTATTACCCTTCTTATGTTCAGTTCCCTACACCCATGATAAGCGTGCATATATTTTATTTATAAACCGCGAACCACAAGGAGAGAGTATAAAGAGAGATCAAAAGAACGAGCATCAAGTACACTTGACAGCTATCACAGGCAGATGAGTAAAGTTCATACATAAATATGTGTGTACAAATTCATATTCATATATATGAAATATGTTAACAAAATCACGCAAAATAAAAACAATCAAATTATTATAATTTCTTGTTTCCATGTTTCCATTACTTCAACGATAGTTTTCTTTGTAAAAAATTCTGATAATAAATTCCCTTTAATTTTGATAAATTCCAAAGCTGAATTAATGGATAAAAATTTGTTAAATTATTAGGAGAATTTTTTAAAATATTTAAACCATCTTCCTGGGACTTCAGAATTTATAGTTCTTTAATTGTTTTTACCAGCTATACAAATAAGCTAATATACCATTTAAATTAATTTTATTCACTCAAGGGTATTTATAATTTCCATTCCCCTTTCGAAACACACACTTAGTGGTATTTAAATAACAGTTAGTCATGAATGTGCAATGGTTTTATTTATCAGACGAGACAATAACCTAAGCCGTCGTGGTGGAGCGCAGCACAATGGCCTCGTGGGGCATCAGGGTCACACTGTTGGCGGACACCTGGTCGCCGACCTTCTTGATGGACTTCTCGGTGACCAAAGCGTACTGGAACTGAGCAGGCAGATAGGAGAACACCTGCGACAGGTTCACATTCTCGATGGAATCGTAGATGTTGAACAGAGAAATGTACACATAGTCGCCGCTCAGGTGGCTAAAGAAAGAAATTTTCTTATTAAATAAAATCTTTTCAATTAAATTTAATTATAATCCCTAAAAGTGGATATATCCCGTCGTTACTCACCGCTTAACAGCCAAGACATAGCTGCTAACGGCTTTGATCTCGGCGGAACCCTCCTCAATGCTGGGCTCCTGACGCAGCTGCTGGAGGCGCTTGAAGACGTTAAGGTGGCTCAGAGACACGCCACGCTCGGTCTTCACATTCCTCTGCCGATAGTCGGTTGACACTGGCAGCCAGGTGGATTTGCCGGTGGTGAATCCAGCCTGAGACTCATCGGACCAGTGCATGGGGGTACGGGCCGGGTCACGAGAGTTATCCATATAGTTAGCCTCATAGCCATTGCAGGCCTGTGGGTCCACGGTGTCCTCCCAGGAGACGTAGCCGTCGAGCATGCCAATCTCCTCACCGTTATAGGTGATGCTGCAGCCAGGCAGGGTAAGGAGCAGGATGTTGAAGAGATCCACGCGATCGGCACCAAAGCGGGAGCCCACACGGTTCTTGTCGTGGTTGCCAATCTGGCAAAGAAATAAAATTATTAATAAATATCCAAAACTTTAAAGGAGGTGAGTAGAAAAAAGATTATGATTCTAGGACTCATTAGATAATGACATTCCATCAGAAATTATTAATACTGGTACTGTTGTCGAGTGATTTACTGATGTGAGGATTATTTAAACCTCATAACTTACCACCCAGTTGGCGCTTTTGCCCTCAGGCATCAAGTTGAGCCAGTTGTTAATCAGGTACTCGTAGTGATAGGCATCGGAGTCGTAGTGCAGATTGCTTATCAGCTGGAAGTTGAACGGTATCTGGGCACCATCGGCGGTCTCGTTGCCGTAATAGTGCATGACGATCTCGATCGGGGACCAGGTCTCCACCATCAGAATGCTAAATAATCCGAGGGTAATCTTAGAATCCCATGACTATAGAGTGAGCTATTACTCACCGCTCATCGCCGCCGTTGTCGGCCTGGAACTGCTCGAGGATCTGGCGCCACTCGTAGCTGTAAATTTATAAGAATTATTAGAGTTCCATGGAATATGCTCAGTTGGCCAAACTTACACCAAATGAGGGGTCTCTGGCTGATCCACTGTGTAGATCTTGTGGGTATATCCGTACTCATCCGGATCGTTGGTCCAGTCGTTGCGGGGCTCATCCGGATAGTTGCCGTTCTCATCGGCCTCGACCTCGAAGGCATGGTAAATGGCATCCACGCGGAAGCCATCGACGCCTTTCTCCAGCCAGAAGCGCAGCACGTTGTTCATCTCCTCGCGGACCACGGGATTACGGAAGTTAAAGTCCGGCTGCTTCTTGTGGAACTGATGTAGATAGTACTCCTGACGACCCTCGTGCCACTCCCAGGCGCTGCCGCGGAACACGCTCACCCAGTTGGTGGGCGGACGACGGGTGCCGTCATCATTGAGGAATCCCGGGTGCCAGATGTAATAGTCCTTGTACTCCTCCTCGCCGGCAGCCGATCGCAGGAACCAGTCGGCCTCATCACTGGAGTGATTGGGCACAAAGTCGAGGATAATCTTCACATCCAGTTCCTTGGCACGAGCCACCATGTTCTCAAAGTCCTCCATTGTTCCAAACATGGGATCCACCGCCTTAAAGTCGGAAATATCATAGCCAAAGTCGGCCATCGGAGACTTCAAGAAGGGCGACAGCCAGGTGGCCGTCACACCGATCTCCTTAAGGTATTCCAGCTTCTCGGTCACTCCGTTCAGGTCTCCAATTCCATCGCCATCGGTGTCTTTGAAGGATCGGGGGTAGATCTGGTAGAAGGAGGCGGTCTTCCACCAGGGAGCCGCAGCATCGGCGGCCAGCAGGCCGAGGGCCACCAGCAGGAACAGGCTAGTCCAAGTGGTCATTGTTAACTGTAAGTGGTGCGATTGGAATCGCTTTCTTATATACCTACCACCAGCCTAGATGGAGTCACTGCGATAATCTACAAGGCTTATCGATTTTTGATTTTTTGCGCGAAAACACGTATGGCCACCTGGGAAAATATATGGCGGGACCTTTGGCTCCAGAATATAAATGGAAGATAGTGAGGCTGGTTAGTGCAGAATAAGTGAATTTCTAGGATTAGAGAAATAAGGACAACAAAGGAAAACAGTTGAATCTAAGTAATATAATTAAAAATTTTTTAAAACTATCAAGGTCTAAGACCTAATTTGATCCTAATTGGAATTCTTGGGCCTACGTATCATAATGTGATCGTTAGAAGACCCTAAAAGTTAGCCAAAACTATACTTAATTCTCCTAAATAAGTGATATTCCCTGTAGCGATAACGTATCATTATATATGCTCATAATTGGCTATTGATTATGTATATTTCCTGTAATCAAAGCTACAGTAAGCACAAGGAAATACTGAACGAGTCTGCCTTTAATGACCTACACTCATGTGGTTTCAGTTATTAAATCATTGTCAAAAAACCTTATCACAACCTTGAACTCTCAAGTCTTGCATTTATTAGCCCCGAATTGGAGAGGCAATAAAATATTCCCCCCCAGAGAAATCCAAGAAATGCTCGATAAGATTAAGCCATGTATGCAGTTGAAATTCATTTGCCTGCCAATCTGTCTCATGATCTCCGGGCGTGAGCCAAAATCTTTCTCCACCGCGGCTTGCTGCCAATAAATTCCACAACTCGGTATCTTGGGAACCCGATCAGCCTGGCCACGCACTGGGACCGTAAATCTGCCAATGGCGTGGGGGCTAATCAGGAGTATATTAGGGGGGCTTATCAGGGCCTTATCAGCTGGGCCGACGGGCATAAATAGAAGAACTGCCTAATCCCTCTGGCCATTGGCAATCGATCGATTCACTGGGAGCCATGTTCAAGTTGCTGGTTCTCTCTTGCCTTCTGGCCCTGGTGCTGCCCTCGTTGGCCGAAGTGGGCTGGTGGCGTACCGGACAGTTCTATCAGATCTATCCCCGCTCTTACAAGGACAGCGATGGCGACGGTGTGGGCGACTTGAATGGTAAGTAAAGTTTAAGGAATTCTCAGGAGCAGGCACTCATCCTAGACTCGTGTCGCAGGTGTTACCCAGCAGCTGGCCTACCTGAAGGAGATCGGCGTCACTGCCACCTGGCTGTCCCCGATCTTCACCTCGCCCATGGCTGACTTCGGCTACGATGTGGCCGATCTCTACAACATCGATCCGATCTTTGGCACCATGGCCGACTTTGATGCCCTGGTGGCACGCGCCAAGGAGCTGGACATCAAGATCATCCTGGACTTTGTGCCCAACCACACCAGTGACGAGTGCGAGTGGTTCATCCGTTCGGAGAACGGCGAGGAGCAATACAAGGACTTCTACGTGTGGCACACCGGCAAGGTGGTCAACGGCATCCGCCAGCCGCCCAACAACTGGATCAGTGTCTTCCGCGGCTCCATGTGGACGTGGAGTGAGAAGCGTCAGGCCTACTACCTGCACCAGTTCCACGCCAAGCAGCCCGATCTCAACTACCGCAATCCTGATGTGGTCGATGCCATGAAGGAAGTTCTGCGCTTCTGGCTACGCAAGGGAGCCTATGGCTTCCGTATCGATGCCGTGCCCCATGTGTTTGAGGTGCCAGCCGATGCCGACGGCAACTGGCCCGATGAGCCCAGGAATGAGGCTGTCAGTGATCCCGAGGACTACACTTACCTGCAGCACGTTTACACCACCGATCAGCCGGAGACCCTAGAGCTCGTCTACGCCTTCCGTGACGTGATCGAGGAGATAGACGCTGAGTTGGGAGGCGACGATCGCGTCCTGCTCACCGAAGCCTACTCCCCACTGGAGACTCTGATGCAGTACTACGGCAACGGCACTCACCTGGGCTCCCAGATCCCCTTCAACTTCAACCTGCTGGCCAATATCCATTACAACTCGGACGCCTACCACTACTCCGAGCTAATCCACAACTGGCTGGACAACATGCCCGAGGGCCAGGTGGCCAACTGGGTGTTTGGAAACCACGATCAGAGCCGCATTGGATCCCGCCTGGGCGCCGATCGCATCGATGCATGCAACATGATCATTTTGGGCCTGCCCGGCGTCAGTGTCACCTACCAGGGCGAGGAGACGGGCATGACCGATGTGTACATCAGCTGGGAAGACACCGTGGATCCCCAGGCCTGCCAGTCCAACGAGCAGGAGTTCGAGCGTCTTACCCGCGATCCCGTGCGCACGCCCTTCCAGTGGAGCGACGAGCAGAACGCCGGCTTCTCCAATGCCTCCGTCACTTGGCTGCCGGTGGCCAGTGACTACAAGCTGGTCAATGTGAAGAAGGAGCGCGGAGTGGCCCTGAGCCACCTGAATATCTACAAGCAGCTGCGAGCTCTCCGGGATGAGCCCACCCTGAAGCAGGGCGATGTCACTGTGGTGGCCATTGGACCCAATGTCTTGGCTTTCAAGCGGTAAGTTGAGATCGAACTATATCCTTTTTCGAGCATGGTGTTAATCCGTGGCTTTATTTCTAGCTCCCTGACTGGCCAGAAGTCCTACATCACTGTCATCAATATCAACGATGATGTCGAGTCGATTAACCTGGATTCTGTCTTCACCTCCATCTCCAGCCAGCTGCAGTATGTGGTGGTCAATGACAAGAGTGTGCGTCGCAAGAAGTGAGTACAAAGAAGACATATCAAAGATATCTTAAATCATAACTCTCGCAATTCTTTTCAGCGATCTTACTTTTGCCAACTCTGTCCTGCTGATGCCCAAGGAGGCCGTCGTGCTGAGCACAGTCTAGACCAATTAAGTAGTGCTCTTTAATAAAGAAAAATCATAGTAACCATTAAAATCAAACAACTTCCTGCAGGGGGCAGTATTACTCAACAGAAAGCTTATCTCGGCGATTGCCCCACCACATAGTTGTATAAACACTGATTAGAAGGAGACCCACTGGGAATTTTTAATAATAGCCTTAATTTATTGGGTAATTAGAGGGGGGTATTAGGGCCGTATCAGAAGATTCCGGCTTCAATATGGTCGTCGTTAGTGTTTATTCCAAGATTAATCCATGCCTATTATTGCGTAAGTTGATAGTGCTCAGCCCGGTATCGAATGTCTCTATCTTTAAGTGGTATTACAATCAAGATTTAGGTAATTGGCACTCAAAGTTCACATTGGCGTTCACATGCGTCCAGTGGCTGACAAACTTTGTGGGGCGGCCCTATCTTTATGGGGGTCCCCAAGGTAGTTGGTATTTAAGATTAAGAGCAAACAAGGAAGGAATTATTTTTAAAGTCTTTATGCATTTTATTTGTATTGGTACATCACGCCAGCCAGCGCAAGACAATGGCTTCGTGGGGCATGAGAATGATTCTCTCATTCAGATTGACAGTTTGCCTAGGTATAAATTCGATTAAGAAATGGATATAAGGTTTTATATAAAAAGAGTCTTACCCGGCATAGTGAGTGGAGTAGGCCGTGACCAGGACATACTCGTAGGTCTTGGTGCCAAGGCCATCGATCAACTCCATGTTGTTGCCCATGTTGACCAGAATTCGGTACTCCTCGCTGTGCTTGTTGGTGCTAAAGAAAGAGGGGTAAAATAATTTTCTAAATTTAAGTAAAGAACTTCAAACTCCTACCGTATAATCTGAAGAACCTGCTCCGTGACCGCTTCGTAAGAGAAGCCTCCCTCCTCCTTGAAAGCCAAGAAGGCGGAGCTACTCTTGAGCTCTTGCAGACCCTTGAAAATGTTCAGGGAAGATCGAGAAACCCGACGCTCCGATTGCACGTTGTACCTCTCGTAATCCGGACTTAGGGGCAACCAGGTTGAATCCCCCGGAGAGAAACCAGCATTCTTCTCCGAATTCCATTGCATGGGCGTACGCTCTGCATCCCTATGCTCGCAATCGTCTCCGGTGCACTGCACATCCACATTGGACATGCCGATCTCCTCGCCATAATAGGTGACGGAGGCTCCTGGCAGGGCATTCACAATCACATTCAGCAGATCCACTTTGTGGGCTCCCATGCGATTGGCCACGCGGTCGTTGTCATGGTTTCCCACCACCCAGTTGGCCGTTTGGTGCTCCTTCCACATGGTGTTCATCCAGTAGTCGATGGAGCCGACCACATCCCTGGCAGTGGAGTAGCCACTGAGGTACATCAGCTGGAAGTTCATGGGCAGCTGTGTGCCCTCATGCGTGCTGTTCCCGAAGTAGGCACTCAGTGTTTCCACCGAGGAGTAGGCTTCGGCCAGGAGCACCCTCGAGTCTCCGCCGTTCTCCGCCCGATAGGCGTCCAGGAAAGCACGCCACTCGTACATCAGATCCACAGTGGCTGGCTGATCCTTGGTATAGATGTGATCGTGGTAGTCGTAGGCCTCTGGGTCACTGCTCCACCCACTGATGGGCTCGTCCGGATAGGAGCCATTCGCAAAGCGGTACTCGTAGATATGGGGAACGGCATCGATCCGGAAGCCATCCACGCCGCGATCCAGCCAGAACTTGAGCACGTCCAGCATGTGCTCCCTGACCATGGGATTGGTGAAGTTGAGATCTGGCTGCTTATCCTGGAACTGATGCAGGAAGTACTGCTGCCGCTGCTCGTTCCATGTCCACATGGGTCCACCGAACACGCTAACCCAGTTGGAAGGTGCCTCCCTCTCGCCGGTTTCCGAGTTCAGTTTTCCATCATCCCACACGTAGAAGTCGTCGTAACCATCCTCACGGTTCACCGACTTGGCAAACCACTCATTCTCATCGCTCGAATGGTTGGGGACAAAGTCCAGAATGATCTTCACGCCCAGCGACTTGGCCTCCGTAATTAATTCATCAAAGTCTGCGAGGGTGCCGAAGATGGGGTCGATATCGTAGAAGTTAGAGATGTCATAGCCAAAATCCGACATGGGCGAGGTGAAGATGGGCGACAGCCAGGTGGCCGTGATGCCGATTTCCTTGAGATAACTCAGCCGCGAGGTGATGCCTTTTAGGTCCCCAATGCCGTCGCCATCGCTGTCCTGGAAGGAGCGCGGATATATCTGGTAGAGCGAGGCGTTTTCCCACCAATCGATGTCCGCGCCACCCGCCGGGGCGGTGCCAGCCAGGAGAAGGAGAGCCAGGCAGAGGCCGAGGCCAAGATGTGCCCACTGCGGCATTTCGATAGCGTTTGAATGGGCCAAACTCAATTTGCTAATAACAATTGCCGGCCGTGTAGCGATTGACGAGGCGATAAGGCGCAATTGCTTCGACCGACTGGTAATCTGTCAGTGTTTTATCGCATATTTGCTAGATTAAATAACCGCTGGCTCTGGGCTTTTTCCCGTTCTGCCTTTGGCTCTCCTTTTATTGGATATTCCACTAAAGCGCGAAATGTCGTAAAATTGCCATAAAAATGTTAAATACAACTGCCACAGGAATAAGCTGTCCCGAGATTCTTCCACAGTGAATCAATATCGATAACAGGCATAAATGCTTGAACTTTATTCAACAAAGTTTGTTTAGGGGGAAAAGAAATCAATTTCAAGTTGAACTTGATAAAATATTAATTTATTAATTTGTTGATGTCAATCTAATCTATATTTATTGCCTGGTAGGGTACAATATTTTGTATAGCAGCTTGCAACGCAGTTGAGTATAATTTATACATTTCAAGCTTCTAATTATAAAGGTTAAAAGTAAGTAACCTCTTCCCGTATTCCGTTATCCTTAATATCCCTACATTTGACTTTGCATTAATTATGCCACCAGTCTGCATCTCTGGCGTCCGTCGACGACCTGCGTCACTGCTGTCTCTCAAAATAAATTTGACTTGTACATTTGCTTTTAAATAAATTAGTTCCCGCGCCGGAGGCAAAGGAGGAGGATGATGGGGTGTACATTTCCGCAAACACACCTAATTAGCCGCTACTGCCGCAGCCCAGCTTGCATCCCCGGAGCGAAACGCGAATTCAAATAAGAGAATCCCTGCAATATCCTCGAGTCCGCTCCAGCCGAAACATGAGGGGGCATCGGCAGTGTTTTCGCACTGCACTCGTTCAATTACACTTACTCATTACACCGCCCGGGGCAATCCACTCGAAGTGGTTTTAATTCAATTAAAATCCTTACTCGCCTGCACACCTGCGGGGAGGAGGGAGAGGTGAACTGCGCCCCCTCAGGTGCCAGCATCCCGAGGTGGCGACTGCCATAAATCAATATATCCTTCCAAAGAATTCAACTGATGTTAGCTAACACCAATCAAATCGATATTGGCCCGGATTGCTCACTTATACAGATTTCAATTAAGTTAGTTCGCTGCGGGTTTTGCCCTTAAAGAATTTCAGAATTTAAGTTGTTAAAGGTCATGAAACTTTAAGAATAATTCGAAAATCTATACGTAAGCTGATTTAGACTATTAAATACATTAACTACACTAAGCTTTTAGTATCTAATTTCTGATTTTTATAAACAAACAAGGAAATACCTGAGCAGCAAATAAACTTCTTGACACTGTAGCCCCTTAATGATAAGATATCTGTTAAAAATCAATATGATTGTATCGCCTTAATTACCCCAGTTATCTCTTAAACTATACACCAAGCTCGTATCTGTTCCAAGAACTTTACAAATAACAAACACTTCCCTAATGTCTTTTAGCTCGCCGATGAATTACTTCAAAAGTTAGCTTTTAAAACGTAACTTATCAAGTGAAAAAAACTCAGATGACTCTGATAATAACAATAATTTTAGCTGCAATGCTCGCAGCAAATGATTATGTTTTGTCACGTTTGAAATGGCCCAGAGAACTGCGACAAGGTTATCTGGGGGAGAGAATATTTCCACCGTCGAGTGTTCGTATTTATTAATCACAGTTTTTCAGCTCACTGTGGCTTGTTTTTGCCTGCAGCTGAAGAAGGGGGATTTTTGCTGTTTTTCCCTTCCTATCAACTGACTAACTGACCACTTAAACCCCCTACCATAACATACCAGGGGGGGCTCTTCAGGAAGATACTCAATAGGTTATTTTCCAGCAATCAAGGGGCTGTGTCGAGAGCGGGTTAATCGCTTTACGTAAAGCTTCGCTGGGCAGGGCGAAAACAATGACAATTTGGGTGCGAAAAACTTAACACCCTGAGAACCCACGAGCAGTGTGTTTGGACAGCAATTGAAATGGCCACTTCAAGTGGGTCAGATCTCGATAGGAGCCGGCTTATCGAGCAGTATAAAAGCCAGCTGACGGCTCTCCACAGCGAACAAATTCGAACAAAATGCGACCGGAATCAGCTGCATGCCTGCTCCTGGCCGTCGTGGGCCTGGTGGGAGCCACCGAGTGGTGGGAGAGCGGCAACTACTACCAGATCTATCCGCGCTCCTTCCGCGACTCCGATGGCGACGGCATCGGAGATCTCAATGGAGTCACAGAGAAGCTGCAGTACCTTAAGGACATCGGGTTTACGGGCACCTGGCTGTCGCCCATCTTCAAGTCCCCAATGGTGGACTTTGGCTACGACATCTCGGACTTCTACACCATCCAGCCGGAGTACGGTACCATGGAGGACTTTGAGCGCATGATTGCCAAGGCCAAGGAGGTGGGCATTAAGATCATCCTGGACTTTGTGCCGAACCACTCCAGCGACCAGAATGAATGGTTCACCAAGTCCGTGGACAGCGATCCCACCTACAAGGACTATTACATCTGGCACGACGGCAAGGTGAACAATGAGACTGGCGAGCGGGAGCCGCCGAGCAACTGGAACTCAGAGTTCCGCTACAGCGCATGGGAGTGGAACGATGTGCGTCAGCAGTACTATCTCCACCAGTTCGCCATCCAGCAGCCTGATCTCAACTACCGTAATCCCGCCGTGGTCAACGAGATGAAGAACGTGATTCGCTTTTGGCTGGCCAAGGGCGTCTCCGGCTTCCGTATTGACGCGGTGCCCTATCTCTTCGAGGTGGATCTCGACCGCTATAACGAGTATCCGGATGAACCTCTCACCAACGACTCTGTCAGCTGCCCGGATCCGGACGACCATTGCTGGACGCAGCACATCTACACGCAGGATCAGCCAGAGACCCTCGACATGGTGTACCAGTGGCGCGAGGTGGTGGACGAGTTCCATGAGGAGCATGGCGGCGACCAGCGCCTCCTGATGACTGAGGCCTATACCAGCTTTGATAACATCATCTTGTACTACGGCAATGGAGTAAGGAACGGCTCGCACATCCCCTTCAACTTTGACTTCCTCTCGAGCATCAACAACGCCTCGACGGCCGGCGACTATGTGGATCACATCAAGAAGTGGATGAATGCAATGCCGGCGGGCGTCTACGCCAACTGGGTGCTGGGAAACCATGACAACAAGCGAGTGGCCTCCCGTTTTGGTGTCCAGCGTACGGATTTAATCAACATCCTGCTGCAGACGCTGCCAGGACACGCGGTCACCTTCAACGGCGAGGAGATAGGCATGACCGATGTATGGATCAGCTGGGAGGACACTGTGGACCCCAATGCGTGCAATTCGAACCCGGACATCTACTACGACCGAACGAGGGATCCGGAGAGGACGCCCTACCAGTGGGACGCCTCTCCTCAAGCAGGTGAGTCATAGCATGCCCTACAGTCTTTTAAAGAATATGTATAGGTAATCAATTAAGTGGGTTATTTTGACATTGATAGTGTATATTCCGATATGTGTGATTTGTCATACTCTGATTAAGTTTGTTATAAAACTTAAACAAGCAAATACCAAAACAATGGCAGATAGAGTACCTTAACTGATTAGGCATAACCTCAAGAGGTTAAAGAGTATGAATTGAAGATAACCAACAGATAACTTAATATTCTTATCAGGCTTCACCAGTGCCGATCACACCTGGCTGCCAGTGGCCGATGACTACAAGACCAACAATGCCCTGCAACAGCTGCGAGCTCCTCGTTCTCACCTGCAGATTTTCAAGAAACTGGTGCAGGTTCGCAAGGAGCCATCCTTCCGCAAGGGAGGACTAGATATCCAAGCTGTGGATGACGATGTGATTGTTTATTCGCGGTAAGTAAAGCGAGGAATACTAATCGAATCAGGTTATGAAAGATGTATATATCTTTGCAGCCAAGAGACTGGCAGCGATCTCTATGTGATCGTCCTCAACTTGGGCGGCACTGCGAAGACCCTAGACCTGACCAAGTACTACAGTCTGGGCAGCCAGGCGGAAGTGATCACCACTTCCCTGAGCTCGCAGTACATCGATGGGGATGTAGTCACTCCATCGCAGTTCGTGGCCAATCCCTATGTGGGCACCGTGCTTGTGAAGGTCTAGTTAGGTTAATTTTATTTGACGAAATGCAAAGTGTATATTGCCTATGTAAAAATTAAAATTTTATAAAAATATTTGGCCTGAAAGTAGGCAGTGCGATTCCGCCTAAAGCCTCTGCTTTAAGCGCAGGTGTAGACCGTTCTCCGACTTTAAAGTCATGGAAGCGGATAAAATTGGATCGTATTTGTGGATGTGAGCATCGCGTTTGGCCTTCTCTGCCGGAGGAAGGCCCAGAGTAGTACTTATGTAGCCATCCTTCGACACAAGCTCATCCAGGGCAGGCAGAACTTGGAAGTTACGAACAATCTTGGATACCACAGTCTTGATCTCCAGCAGGGCAAACTTCTGGCCAATACAGTTACGGGGACCAGCACTGAAGGGCACATACTCGAAGGGTCCTGGCTTCTGCTCCTCGAAGCGCTCGGGTCGGAATCTATGGGGATCCTTAAAGACACGATCATTGTAGCCCAACATCAGTAGACCCAGATTTAGGGTAGTGCCTTTCGGTACCAATTCACCATCTGCAAAAGGATTATTCCTTGTTAAATAAGTTATTGTGGTCTTTGAAATACTTACCTATCATATAATCCTTTTCTGTGAAGCGGCCAATAAATGGCACACTGGGATAAAGACGTTGGGATTCCTTGATAAAGAGATCTAGGTATTTCATTTGAGAGATTTCCTGGAAGGTGGCATCGCTACCAAGCCCAGAATCGCCCATCACTTCGCATTGTTCTTCGAATAATTTTTGCTGCATTAAAATTTGAATAATATATGGTAATTATTAATTAGTTAGATAATTAGTTCACCTGTTCTTCTGGATGTCTGGAGAGCAGATAGACCGCAAAGCCCACTCCAGAGGTGGTTGTGTCGTGTCCTTCAAACATAAATGTGGAGACCTCTTCATAAAGCTCTTGAGAAGTAAGAGGTCGTCCATCAACAGTAGACGAAAGCAGAGTATCCAGAAAGGCCATCTTCTTGCGAGAGAATTCATCTCCTTGAATTTTGGACTCAACGCCTGAGTTTCGAGCTTCAATTCGCTTTTCTATAATTTCATTGGTAAAATCCTGCAGAGTCTTTAGAGTTCGGCAATATTTTGGATATTCGGGAGCTAATCGATAGAGCAGGTTATTGCGCTTCCAGGGACTAAAGGCCCTCATTTTGATATTATAAGTTATGCTGCAAGGTAAATTAAAGTTAAAATAAATACAAACAAAAAATGTATGTTATACATACTCTTTGAAAGCCTGAACTACAGCTGAGCTTCGGTTTTCCATGGCGTTGATGGACACACCCATGGCAGTGTCGCAAATAACATCCAGAGTTAGGTAGTGGGTTTCATCCTGGAAATCAAAGATGTTGTCTCCAGTGGCGAGGGATCTCAGGTGCTCGATGAACTTGCTTGAATTCTCGTTCATCACTTCGTGAAAATCCTGCAGGATGTTGAAGTGAAAGGCCGGGGTAATCATCTTGCGATGCTTGTGCCATTTGCTGCCTGTACTGGTTAGAAGTCCCAATCCCAGCCAAGGATGTGTTAGGTCATACACATCTGACTTTGATATTAGAGTCTGACTGCTGAGTATAAACTGGATGACAAATATTTTAACTCTATTATTTTGTATCTAAAAATTGACAAAGCTAACCTCCATGTACTTGGGGCTGGTAACCATTATGTTGGAGTAGTAACCTATCCAGTATCGAAAATTGCCCTTGTCATATTCATTCCACCAGCCAAAGAATCGATTAAGAATCTCTATGGAAAAAAGACAAATTTTGTTTATAAATTGATTGGTAAACATATATTCCATCAATTGTAGGGGACAGCCACTTTCATTATAGCTTTATATCACTTGTATCAGGTCATTAAGTCCTCAATGCCTATAATTAGATAGTTTGCACGCGTGCTGGGCGAGGCGAAGTAATTATACCCAATTTCAATCGCATTGTAGTAACCTTTGATGCCCGAGAATCACACGAAAATCACCACTTTATGATCAAAGTCCCAATCTTATCATTGTGTGATCAGACACCCAAGGTGCCGTGGTATCTAGACGGGAGATGAACTTTGGTCGCACGCCTAATTAGTTTATTCGCAAGTCATAATGCGATTCCTACGATTTTAATTGCACAATCGCGAACTGCAGTCACCTGTGGGCGTCTTGCCCATCTGATGTGCGTTGCCCACCACCGGCAGCATTCTGGGACCCCGGAACTGGTTTAGCATTCGCTTCTGGCGCATTGATCCCAGCTCGAAATACGCCGCCAAGAGCAGGGGCAGGGCGATGAAGGCGCAGAGCACGACCCACATTTTCGAAAGCGAACCGTTTGGTGCAGCGAGCGAATCCAAATTGACTGCAGAGCGCAGCGGTGCGTCGCTTAAATACTCCAACCAACCGGTCGGGTTCTCAGCTCCACGCAGAGAGTGACGACATTAACACATGTTGGCGAAGCCTATGGACAGATTCCATCTGTTCAGCATGACTTGGCAATAATTGATTTTTATGCTGTGAAGATAAAACAGATCTTAGAATTACATGCTAGAAATTCTTGTTTTTTTATTAAGAATTATTTTATAAATTATCAAAAACAAATATAAAATTTCAAAATATAATTATTAAAGATCACTTTTTATTTCTTTAAATTTTATTAATAAATTTAATATGATTCCCTACCAAAGATTGATAACAAATCTAAAATTTTAAAATGTAATCATTAAGATTTTAATATTTATTTCAAACCCTAATAATATTACGTTACCTGGTAAAACATGTTAATAAACATTTGTTTTTAATTTGATTATTTGTTCCACTTCCCCTGATTAACAGTTTCTTAATAATTGCTTTTGTGGGGAGACGACTAAGCAGCTCCTAGCACCGATCTCACAGACTGCGTAAACTTAACAAAGAGTATTTTGCTTAGAGCTCGCAAAAGAGTGTGAGAAATTTCTTAAAATTTTAGTGCCTCTCCTTCAGGCGAATGAAAAGTCCATTCTCTGACTTAAGGGTCAGCACAGCGGACAGAATGGGATCGTATTTATGGCGATTAGCATCCAGCTTCTTCCTCTCGGCAGGCGTCTTGCCCAGGGTGGTATTCACATAGCCATCCTTGGAGACCAGCTCATCCAGCGCGGGCAGCACCTCAAAGTTGCGAATGATCTTGGACACCACAGTCTTGATCTCGAGCAGAGCAAACTTCTGGCCAATACAGTTCCGGGGACCGGCACTGAATGGCACATACTCAAAGGGTCCTGGTTTCTGCTCTTCAAAGCGCTCGGGTCGGAACTTGTGCGGATCCTTGAACACCTCCTCATTATAGCCCAGCACCACCAGCCCCAAGTTGAGTGTGGTTCCCTTGGGAATGAGTGTGCCCTCTGAACAGAAAACATTCTTAGGAAATTTTGATTTGAAATAATTAATAAATAACTCTTACCAATCACATAATCCTTCTCAGTAAAGCGACCTATGAAGGGCACACTGGGATACAGACGCTGAGCCTCCTTAATGTAGAGATCTAAGTACTTCATCTGGGAGATTTCCTGGAAAGTGGCATCTCGCTCCAGACCAGTAGCACCCATTACCTCGCGCTGCTCCTCAAATAGTTTTCGCTGCTCTTCTGGATGTCTGGACAGCAGGTAGACTGCAAAGGCCACTCCGGAGGTGGTGGTATCGTGTCCCTCAAACATGAAAGTGGAGGTCTCCTCGTATAGATCTTGGGAAGTCAGAGGGCGACCATCGATCGTGGACGAGAGTAGGGTATCCAGGAAGGCCATCTTCTTGCGGGAGAACTCATCGCCTTGGTTGCTGTTAACGGCTCCCGATTTATGGGCCGCCACGCGCTTCTCGATGATGTCGTTGGTGAAGTCTTGCAGGGTCTTGAGGGTCTTGCAGTAAGCGGGATAATCCGGAGCCAATCGATACAGTAGCTCATTGCGCTTCAGGGGGTGAAAAGCTCTCATGTTGATGTTGTAGCACATGCTGTGGAAAGGGAAAAACTGTCAGCAATGACAAAAAACTTGTATTAACTAAAGAACGTACTCCTTGAAAGCCTGCACGATGGATGAGTCTCGGTTTTCCATGGCGTTGATGGACACTCCCATGGCCGTGTCACAGATAACATCCAAGGTCAGGTAATGGGCCTGATCCTGGAAGTCGAATATATTGTCCCCGGCGGCCACCTTCCTCAACACCTTGACAAACTTGTTGGAGTTCTCGTTCATCACCTCGTGAAAGTCCTGCAGAATGTTGAAGTGGAAGGCCGGGGTGATCATCTTGCGGTGCTTGTGCCACCTGCTGCCCGTGCTGGTCAGCAGGCCCAGTCCCAGCCAGGGATGTGTCAGATTATAGATGTCGGACTTTGAGATAAGCGTCTGACTGCTGAGTATGTACTACAAATAAGGAAATAATGTTTAATCATGCTGACACTCGGATTTTGCTGTGCAAACTCACCTCCAGGTACTTGGGTTTCGTGATCAACAGATTGGAGTAGGTTCCTATCCAGAAACAAAAGTTATCCTTGTTGTACTCATGCCACCAGGAGAAGATCTGGTCGAGAATCTCTGTAGAGCAGAGCGAAAAATAATCCCATTATTAGCCCAGTCACGTATCAGCTGTATCAGTATGCCTAGAGCGTCTGCCAAAGGTATGTTTGTTTTGGCACGCGATTTTCTGTATCCGAGATACGGCACTTGCATTTCATTTTCCACAGCTTGTAAATGCACAGGGCCAAGTTGCGCAACGCCCAAATCAAAATCTCTGTATAATCTCCGAATCTCCAGTGTCTGGCTGCGGTATCTTCAAATGGCAGTGCCCCAATTAGCCGACAGTTAGCACACATTCATTCTGGTTGTAAAGTGGCTGGCCCAGAACGACCTCACTGGAATAGCGCTGCCTCTGAGTCAGTTTGAATCGCAGTTACCTCAGTCACAACGCTATTCGAGATGGGTCGTTCCGGAAAGGGTGTTTCCTCGGCGTTTTCTCTCGATCGGAACTTACCTGAGAGATTCTTGCCCATCTGGTGGGCATTTCCGACGATGGGTAGACCGGTGGGGCCATTGAACTTGCTCAGTACCCTACGCCGGCGAAAGGTACTTAGCTCCAGATAAGCCACCACCAGCAGCGGCAGGGCCAGGAAAATATACAAAACGAACCACATAGCGATCGTGACCGCCCAGCTGGCGGGTCTCTGGGAATATGAGAGGGTTTTCGGGCTGAGTCCCCGCTTAAATACGAGCGATGTCAGCCAGTACTCTCTTTGAACACTCTCTGGCTAACTTCCCATATCTCTGCCATAACAATGCCTCCCAAAATACAAGTAAATATTTTGGTGCTTTCAGCGTGACTTGCCGTTTTTAAATCAGGTTTTTGTGAAGAGATGCGACTCTTTTTCTCTAACGGGTTAGTAGTTAGTTAAAATTGGGAAATCTTAAAAACTAAATCAATAATTTGATATCACCCTGACTTTACTTTAATGCTAGTACAATATTTGCTCTTGCTTACATCCTAATTATTTTGCTGATAAGCCAAATACCGGTCAAAGCTGTGAAAACCATTTGAAAAAAATAAATAATAAAATAAAGCATAAAGCAAACAAACATAATGTCAACAGAGAGTTGAGTTTTTTTAATTGTTACTCTTTTGGAACGATAAGAGAAGCAGCAAAAGAGCTTTAAAAAGAGAAAGACCCAAAATAATCATAAGTTTTCTTAGCTTATCAGCATGTAGAAGCTCTCTTTGAGCAGAAGAAAGGTACTCTCTACGGGAATTCTACATGGGTTTACCACAATTTTCAAATGTAAAAAAAGGAATATTATAAAAAATAGTAAATATCAATTAGTGGTAGTTACTATTTCGCTTAACTATTTTTAACTTTTCTGATGTTAATGGTGTTTTTCTTTAAATACTTTTCATTAGTTCTTTATGATATTGAAATTAATTAGTATTAATTAAGATTTATATATATTAAAACTTTATTTATATCGCTAAGAAATTTCCTTCAATTATGTTAATTTTTAAATTATGAAAAATCGAGTAAAAATTATACATTTTTTGAGGGAAATCATAGTTTAAAAATTTCATAACTTGGCCAAAAAAGCCTTAATTTAATTTCAGAAAGCGTATCTATGCAAATTTTGATTAGGTTAACATATTAGCAAACTGTATTTAAAGTTTTAAAAAATTCAAATTTTTATCAATTTTCGACAATTTTGATGATGTAACCCCTTATAAAATTTTCAAAAAATTAAAAAATTTTACTTTCTGCCGGATATGGCTAGATCGAATCGGCCGTTGATGCTGATCAATATTATATATGATTTATGGGGTCGGAAATGACTCCATCACTACTTTACAAGCTTCTGACTGAAATTAAAAGACCCTTCTCTATATTTAATGATAAATTTATTATGTATATTAAAAATAATGAGCTTAAACTAGCCAAAAGTTAATCGATTTAAAGCCCAATCTAAAAAAAAGAGTTATGCTGGCTGCTATGTATCAGAAGTTGAATTGTTTAATCAGAAGCTGATTAATAATTATCGCCTCGCGATACTAAAACAGCCTTTAGACCCACACGTCATTACCTGTGTGTGAGTCAGGTAGTAGCAGGCAGTAGTAGCCCAGTATAATTGCATTTATCAATTATCAGCGGCGACACGCCATAAAGGGTATGTTAATTGCCTGATTGATAATGTTATTTGTATCGATTGCCGATTCGCAAACACAAAAAAGACATGCAAAAAGTTGCGCTAGATAAGCTATCGAAGGGGTTATCGGCTATGAAACTGGCCAGCAATAATAATCTACTTAAGTTCCTGGCCCCAAGCCAGTCGGGATAGAATTGTGAACAAGAACAGTTGGAGAGGCACCATGTTTCTGATAGCGATTGCCATTATTTTGGCCACCATTTTGGTGTTCAAGGGCGTGAAGATCTTCAACTACATAGACCACATGGCCGGGATAATGGAGATGATTCCGGGACCCACACCTTACCCCTTCGTGGGGAACTTGTTTCAGTTCGGCCTCAAGCCAGACGGTGAGTACTAGCCCCTGCCTATATTTATGAACTCTTGAAAATTCGATACAAAAGCCATTTGTCTGATCGACTCCCACAGAAGCCATGCATCCGGGCGGTATCCATTGTACCGAGAACATGTTTCAATTTATGTGCATAAGTACTCATGTTTATGTTTGCTGTGATTCAATGCATTCGATTCCCGCAGGCATCGAGTTGCACATTTGGATTTCATCTCGAGTTGTGCATCTCAATTCCCCGATTTACTTATTGTAATATTTGCTACAAGTTTCATCAGGTTCTGAACGCATTTCCCCAGAGTTTTCTTTTTGCACAGCTGAATAAATTCGGTCTTGTTTCCCCCCCCACGTCCCATTCCACCCCGCACCCCTCACGGGTCCGAAGTAATCATTTCAAATGCACAATGGCCATGGCCAGGGGAAAAACGATGGTGCTCTATATATTTCGATGAGGCCTTACTTCATCCATGCTTGGATGGCTCCGGAAAGCATAAGCGGACATTGTGTTTTCGTTATTATTTTATTGCAATCGTAGGTCGGCCTAGGGGGCAGTTTCCAAGTCGACAACAGAGGTTTTGTATTTTGCATTTTACATACATTGAAATGTTTACAGTTTTGTAATGTCAGGACAAAGGTCACAAAAGGACAAAAGTATAATTATTTCCCCAAAAGGGACAATTGCTTTATTGTTTCTAATTTCTAAAGGGTATTATTAAACAGTTTAATATATTAGTTGTCATCTTGCAAAGGCTTTCATGTGACTTTTAACAAGCTAAATGCCCAAAATTTAATATAACTGTATATTTAAAGCCTAATCTCTAATTTAATATTTATTATTAATTAATTTTTATTGCCCCCTTAAAAAAGACTAAATAAAATTGATTAGGGTTATCAATGAAATTAAGTTATCCTGAGTCCAAAAACTAATTCCAAAAAGGGCCAACTTGCCTCCAGAGACCGCTCAGCTTTGCTCGCAGAGCGACTATTAATTAAATGGAATTTCCCAGCCCAACTTTCCCAGCCCCAAAGTTACTTTCAAGTCCTTTGGTAAGAAAGCAAACAATTGAGAAAACCGTAGCTCGGCTTAATAAGTACATGTGCGACATTAGCCCGGGCTTTACAGTCGATTGCAACTTCCGAAAGTTAACTTGAAATTGCATTTTTCGTCAAACGGCAAGCTTTTGTAGTGCTCTGCAAATGTGGAGGAGTTGCTGTCTGGTTATTAAAGTGGGCGTTGCTAACCAAATCCATCTCTTCCCACAGAGTACCCCAAGAAGGTCCTTCAGTATTGTCGAAAATATGACTTTCAGGGATTCCGCTCCCTGGTCTTCTTGCAATACCACATGATGCTGAGTGATCCGGCGGAAATCCAGGTGAGTGTGCCCCACGACCCCACCCTTGAAATTGCACTCCAACCAGCTTATTGTGTTTTGCCCCCGACAGAACATCCTGTCGAGCTCATCGTTGCTGTACAAGGAGCACCTGTACTCCTTCCTGCGGCCCTGGCTGGGCGACGGCCTGCTCACCAGTTCCGGTGCCCGCTGGCTAAAGCACCAGAAGCTCTATATGCCCGCCTTCGAGCGTCCGGCCATCGAGGGTTACCTGCGGGTGGTCCACCGCACGGGCGAGGAGTTTGCCCAGAAGCTGGACAAGCTGGCCGACGCCCAGGTCATGTTCGACGCCCAGGAGCTGGTGGCCAAGTGCACCCTGGATATTGTGTGCGGTGAGTAGGAGCCGATTCATTCATTGAACCCGTAGCTACACGCAGATGAACAAGAGCCCTGAGCGTATTCTTTTGGTAAAACAAGTTTTGCATGCACTGGGAAAAGGTTTTTAAGTTTTAAATTAACAGATCAAATATTTACAAAAATGATTCCAACTTAAAGGTAAGACTAAATGATTTTGTGCCTCAGGTTTTGAACCCGATTTGTGTTCTTGAAGCTAGCATTTAACTTGATTTAAATGTTATAGATAGTTCTTGATAGAAAAATATAACTAAGCTCCTTTAAAATAGTTACCTAAACCACAGAGAAAATATATATAATGTTTTGCAAAGGTTTTACAAAGGTTAACAGATTGTATTTTCAACCGTGTAGGACCGCGAAACTTTACACATTTGTCTTGTCGTTTTTCGGGGGCCGAGTTTCGCACTTCGGGCGTTTCGCTCGTTTATTTTTTGTAATTTATTATGAACGTTTTATAAATAAGATTTATTGCATAGAAAATGGCTACAAGTGCCGCAGATTGTGCGGGCGGAAAAGTTTCGTTTCGTTTCGTGGTCGAGGAGGTACTTGCCCTCTTCGCTACAACATACTTTTTTTGAATACTGAGGAGAGCGCGGGATGATTTGAAGAATTTCCCTGTTAACCGGTGGTAATTTATTGAGAATTTTTGCGATTCGTTCGGGTTCATTTAGCCGGATTTAACCAGTGACTTTCTAACGCCACCCATTTCCCACAGAAAATGCCACCGGCCAGGCCAGTAGCTCGCTGAACGGAGAGCCATCGGATTTGCATGGCGCCATCAAGGAGTAAGTTCGCCAGGAGCAGAGTCCTGGCAGTGGGATTAAGTTCTATAATTTTTCTTTGACTTTCAGTCTGTGCGATGTGGTGCAGGAGCGTACCTTTAGCATAGTTAAGCGATTCGATGCCCTGTTCAGGCTCACCTCCTACTACATGAAGCAGCGCAAGGCTCTGTCCTTGCTGAGGAGTGAGCTAAACCGGGTAAGTCTTAACTTTGGGGGAAATTATTGGTAGAGCCTTTTAATTTGTGTGTTTCATGATAATCTTAGATTGTCACCCAACGTCGCCACCAGTTGGCCAAGGATACCGCGGCTCAGAAGAGCGAGTCGCTCAACAAGCCCTTTCTCGATGTCCTGCTGGCTGCCAAGCTCGATGGGCGAGCCCTCAAGGAACGCGAGATTATCGAGGAAATATCCACATTCATATTTACCGTAAGTAAAGAAATTTAAGAAATTTAAAAATTAAATATTTGAAAATTCTTAATCCATAAACTAGGGTCATGATCCTGTGGCCGCAGCCATATCCTTCACTCTCTACACCCTCTCTCGGCACCCTGACATTCAGCGTAAGGCCTTCGAGGAGCAGCAGCGCATCTTCGGCACTGACTTATCCGGAGAGGCGGACCTGGGTCGTCTAGATCAGATGTACTACCTGGAGCTGATCATCCGCGAAACCCTGCGTCTATATCCTTCAGTGCCTTTGATTGCTCGCACCAATCGCAAGCCTATCGATATTAGTGAGTCAACCAGAATATATACATATTCTTTAAAATTATTATAAATCAAAGATTTTCTTCTTTAAGATGGCACCAAGATAGCCAAGCGAACCACGGTGATTATGTGCCTCATTGCCATGGGCTACAACGAGAAATACTTTGATGAACCTTGTGTTTTCCGGCCGGAAAGGTTCGAAAAGGTCAATACAAATAAGGGAATCGAGGCCTTCAAGAGTGTTCCATTCAGCGCAGGACCTAGGCGTTGTATTGGTAAGTTTTTTATTGATTTAAAATCTATAATAATCTAATTAATTTTTAAATTTGATTTATTTTTTAGCTGAAAAGTTTGCCATGTACCAAATGAAGGCTCTGCTGTCGCAATTATTGCGCCGCTTTGAGATCCTGCCCGCTGTTGATGGACTTCCGCCAGGAATCAACGATCATTCCCGTATTGATTGTGTACCCCAAAGTGAATACGATCCGGTACTTAATATCCGGGTTACCCTCAAGTCGGAAAATGGCATTCAGATCAGGCTGAAAAAGCGATAAAGTCAGCGAAGAAGTATATGAAACTACAAATATAAATGATGTTCAACAATTTGCTATTAAACTATATATTACGAACGAAATAAAGCGAGAAAAATATATATTACGATTGAAATATTCTTAGAAATATTTCTTAAAATTAAATTAAACATTTTAGTTTTGCATTCTAGACAGATCTAATTTCGGTGGCAAACCAGAACCAGTTTTGCATAGTTCACATCATTATTTCCCCGCAAATTACCAAAGTTGACTTGGCAAATAATATTAATTAGCATATGTTTGCGTATTCGTTGCTAATTAATTTTCATTTGGATCAGATCACCAGTTTCGATTTTATTTTATTGCATAAGACACTTAAATTCTCGCAAGCAATAAAAAACAGTAGCAGATCACTTTCGATCAAATAGTGAAATTATTTTTAAGAGCACCACCTTCAGGCCTTGAAGTGAAATCTTTTGGCCTGACAAAAACAAATATGTCAATAAATAAAAAAAGGTTTATTCGGCGGGTTAACGAAGCAAAAGGTTCAGGTAATCACTAAGAATCACTAATTAAACCCGTTCATTGCGGGACCACATCGATCAAAAATCATCCAGACAAAGCGTGACAAGCTGGAACAGATGGCTTTACCTTAACCCAAATAAATCAGAGTGTCCCCACAATTTGTTTGAAAAAACGTCGCAGCAATTAAATTTTTTGCAATAGAACATCGTATTTATTAATCAACTTGATGGTTCAACTTTTTTAGTCAGCATGCTGTTTAAATTCTAAAGTATGAAGGACAAGTCCTCCGTTTCGTAGTAGAGTCCTGGGTCGAACGAGTGGCTTATTCCTTGCTGGGATGGGCCTGGATGTAGGCGATGGCGCGGACAATGGCCTCTGGGATTGGGGGAGCAACGGGCAGCAGATCACTCTGAGGCTGGTATCCGTTCTCGTCGGCCTTGTAGGTCACACGGACGTGCTCGCCCTCGGGGGAAACCCACTCAAAGGCGCCATCGATGTTGCCGTGCACATCGCCGGTGGCCGAGGAGACCACGCCATTGTCCAGAGCCAATTTGCTCACAAAACCATGCTCATTCACATCGTTGACCAGCTCCTTGACCGCGGGATCCTCATAGGCGACCACCAGGGCGGCGAGGGCACAGATAAGCAGCTGCGGATAGTCCAGGATTAAATATCGATCATAGGTATTTCCGCTGCTCACGGGATACTTACGATCTTGAACATTCTGATTGGATTTGATTGTCAGACTAGAGAACTCGTGAGACTGATACCAATTCGGGAGCGAGTCTCGCCTTTTATAAGCCCAAAGCCACATCAAACGCAGACCCAGTTCCGAGCCCAAGCCCAGGCCCAAACCCGAAGCTGATGCAACCCGTTTTTAATTAACATTTCGGCCAGCATAAGCCTCTTTTGGACTTTTGCGGACAGGTTGCGAATGACACGCTCACCGGCGATAAAAATCGTCTGCTGCAATCTTTTTGTTTCACTGGTCTATGCAAATTGCTACCGTAATTATTCTAAAAAGATACCCCAAGGCGCCGAGCTCTCTTTCTGGAAAGTTTAAAGCCTGTTTCTGTCGTGGATTGAAGTAACTTGTGGCCTTATCTTGTGATTATTATCCAGACAATAACTGATGTATGCCTTAGAACCAAACATAGGGTCCTTAATTATTCCCTTTATTTTTAGAAAATTGTTATCGTTTTGGCTTACATTTGATATAATTGTTAATTAATTTGTTGCATTAATAACTCATTATTGTGTTTGGGAATATGTTAGGTTGGAATAACCGGAATAAGAAGCAATGTTAAGTTAAGTTTACTAACTATATTCATTAGAAGAATCAAGAGCGGCTTTCAAACTTTCTTCGGAATCCATTTGATAAGCATACTTTTTGGAGTTTAAAGAACTAAATCTTGCGTATCGATCGAGCCGAGTTTTCTAGTTTTAACTTTTTTTTTAGCTTCTGAATAACAAGCTTTTATAGTATTTAACTAAAACATTAACTTGTAAACAAATTAGCAGTTCTTTTTCGTCTGAAGAGTGCGAATCTGACTAGGAAAAGATTCCAGGACTATATTCCAGGACTAAATCCTGTGCTGTTATAGAAATATAAAGAATAAAGGAAATGTACTTTTTCAAAGTTTATATAAACTTTAATAAAAGTAAATAAATAAAATAGAAAAATAAAGCTTATTTCATTCCAACTTACGATATAAGCTACGAATTTTAGTAAACTTTAATAAAAGTAAATAAATAAAATAGAAAAATAAAGCTTATTTCATTCCAGCTTACGATATAAGCTACGAATTTTAGTAAACGAGACTGCACAAACAGAATATAACCTATAACTTTCAACCCTTTTTAATAATTTAATACTAATTCATTACCAAGATGTAAGCTTGCAAATTATAATTTATTTAAAGTTTCAATAACAACTTCTAAGTACAATCTAAGTGCTAATCAGCAGCTGAGAGTAATCCTAGCCCCAGACAGCTGTTCCAAGTCGTGCAGGGTCCTCGTTGGCGGCATGGCTCTTAGTTCTTGCTGGGATTAGCCTGAATCCAGGCGATGGCACGAACGATGGCCTCTGGGATGGGGGGAGGAGTGGGCAGCAGATCGCTCTGGGGCTGGTATCCGTTCTCATCGGCCTTGTAGGCCACTCGGACATGGACGCCCTCGGGGGAGACCCACTCAAAGACACCGTCGATGTTGCCGTGCACATCGCCGGTGGAGGAGGCAGCCACGCCGTTGTCTAAGGCCAAACGGGACACAAAGCCATCGGGATTGACTTCGTTGACCAGCTCTTTGACCTCGACATTGGCATCGGCGGCCACCAGGGCGGCAAGGGAGCAGACGAGCAGCTAGGATAATCCAGAATTAGGCGGTGTGATATCCATAGGTCCTTTCGATATACTTACGATCTTGAACATCTTGATTTGGTTTGATTGTCTGACTAGAAAGCTTGAGAGACTTATGAAAATATGTTCGCAAATATCGGCTTATATATGTTTTAGAACCCATCCCAAACCTAAGGCTGATGCAATATGCGTCTCTAATGAAGTCAAGATGATTTGGCTTCGTCTGCGGGCAATAAAAGTCGTCTGGCACATTGTGTATTTTGCATATGTTGCATGCAAATTAGTTCACTTAAAAAAATTTTCTTCAACTAGCTGTGGAATTTGCTATGATTTAGGAACTTTGAACTAGAAGTTGAACACTGATTAATTAATAAGCCTCAAGGAATTGTAAGCCTTCAAAGAAGACGAATAATTCATGAGATAATTAATTGTGTTTTGTATTATTAATTTAAAGTAAAATACAATTTCCTTTGAATACCTTAATCTCACTGTTTGTAGCCTAGTTTTCGGAGCCTTTGGCTTATTCAAGTGAATGACTTAAGTCGGCAACTCTGGCTTAAAGCTTTAACCGTTTGATAATTTTAAGGGGCAATGCTTAAGTTAAACAGTGACTTCTTTAATATTGGAAGGCTTCATTTCCTTGTTAATAATCAAATAAAGATTATGTTGTATTTATTTTATAAATTTCTAAAATGATAATTAGAGTAATCTTAATACCAAATAATTCTTTAGGAAATAATAAATATTATACTCCAATCCATTGACATTTCCGTACAAGTTACATTGAAAGTTACTACCTTTTATGATATCCTATGAAAATCCCTATGAAAACCCATTCCTATCCTCACTTGGTAATCCGCCAAAGTCTCGACTAAGGCGAAACGTCATCGATGGTCTCGGAGTCCCCAAAACCAGTACGGTGCCGCCCCTCAAAAAAATCTGCTGAAGCATGTTCCATTTTGGATTCAATTCCGAGTGCCAGAGACTCGTTTTTTGACATTTTGTCTGGCCGTGTGTCAAGTGGCGAATTTATGGTCTCTGGCTTTTGTTGGCATTATAATTATGAGCAGTTTGTGCACCCGATAATTTAGCATTGGCCAGAAATATAAGTAATTCGTTTTTGGGAAGCAACTGGATCAAGAATCATATATAAGGCCTGCACCGGACCACAGTCAGTTATCAGTCAACGTTCGTTCTCGACCAGACAGAAATCAGCCAAAATGTTCAAGTTTGTGAGTGACTCGCAGGCTAAGATGGAAGTTTAGTTGCCAACTAATGATGATTCCTCTCTCTCTCCAGGTGATGATCCTCGCCGTTGTGGGAGTGGCCATGGCCGTTGCCCCAGTGTCCCGCTCCGAAGATCACCACGCCGAAGTTGTGCACCGCTCTGAGGATGTCCGCGCCGATGGTTTCGACTCTGACCTGCAGACCACCAACGGCATCCAGCAGGCCGCCAGCGGTGATGTCCATGGCAACATCCATGGCAGCTTCGGCTGGATCTCGCCCGAGGGCGAGCATGTGGACATCAAGTATGTGGCCGATGAGAACGGCTACCAGCCATCGGGAGCCTGGATCCCCACTCCCCCACCAATCCCAGAGGCCATTGTCCGCGCCCTCGCCTGGCTGCAGGCTCACCCCCAAGCCCCCGAGCATCCCCGTCATCACTAAGCCCAGTCACCCTGAACCCGGAACGCTCCACGGACTACTGTTCTCTCGACCCATACCCCCCTAGTTGTTTAGCTGTACTTCTTGACTTTCAAAAAAATACATGCAGATGCTTACATAAATAACGAAATTTATTGGATTTTTGACTTTCTTATGCTTAAGTTTACGTGTGGGGCTCTAAGTGTGGATTTTTATACAGTCCAGGGTGTTAACATTTTGGCCCAGGCTTTATTGAAGCTTGTAAAGCAGTGAAGAAGTCTCATCCAACCCTATAAATCAAATATATTATTGATCAGCATCAATAGCTGACTTCATCTAGCCAAAGCTAAAAAATGATCATATAAAAATATGAATAAATATCCATTAAAATAATTCAAATATTTCAGGTCTTCTTTGGGGGTTTTATGATTTTAGTCAGTGAAGTAGTCATTTCCGACCCTATAAATCATATATATTCTTGATCAGCATCAACAGCAGAGTCAGACTAGGCATTTTCGGCAGAAAAAAAACATTTTCTTATTTTTTGAAAATTTTATAAGGGGTTACATCGTTAAAATTTTCAAAAATTGAGAAAAATTTTAATTTTTTGAAACTTGAAATTCAGTTTGCTTATTTGTTAAACTAATAAAAACTAGCACAAAAAAGCTTTCCGAATCAAAATTGAAGCATTTTTGGCTTAGTTATGATAGATTTTTATGATCAAATTGCAAGCTGAAAGGGTATACAAACTTCGGCTTCTGAAACTACCTTCCTTTCTGGTTTACAAGTAATTTTGCCGTAATACTTATATTCATTTTAAGTATTAACCATAAAGATCAAATTATATATCTAAGTTCTTCTAAATAATGTAAGATATATTTTGTTTCTGTTTAATAATTATTATTAATTTCTTCTTAAATACAAAGAATATGAATTTTTCTGACCTCAAATTGTCTTAAAAATGTTAAATGAAAGCTATACAATACTCAAAAGTGTATTAGACTAACTAAATGTGCTATTAAATAATTAATTAGCCTGCTAAGTACTCACAACTCTACTTTTCTTCTCTTTTAAATTAAATGAAACAAACTCTTTGTATCTCTTAAGAAAGAAATATAAATTAAGAGAAGATTAATATTAAAAGTGGCTAAAAATCATATCTAAAACGCAGTTAAGTACTAAAGAGAATCGATAACCAAGTTGGTGCAAAATAAATAAAACTTAATGGGCGACAAGACATTGCCTCTAAGAAGCCGCTGATTATCTTTTAAAGTCGACGAAGAAGAATCATGGTGGTGATGACTACAAAAGTGGTTCACGGTTTGACAATGTCAATTTTAAGGAGGGAGAAGTCGATGCAGAGGGAACTGCTGAACTCGTTTGGGGCTCGGGATGCCACTCGACCCGTTTGCCCAGGCTTTATTGATGCGAGTGTTTCATTTTAGCATCTATTAAGCGATAATATATAGTACTTATCCCGTTGTTTGGCAAATGCCATGTGACGATTCTGGCCAAGTGGGTGCGGTGCGGGCGCATCCCATTACTCAGATCCGCAGTTGAATGCAGCGATGTTGCGATTTGTTATGGCCTGGCCTCGGTTCAGTTCTAAGATATAAAAAGGCTTTGCCATCCCAAAGACAGTTATCAGTCAACGTTCGCCACCGACCAGACCGAAATCAGCCAAAATGTTCAAGCTTGTGAGTTGGATAATCCGTTTGCAGG